CGGGTACACGCCAAAATTCGAGGTATCACTCGTGTGGATAGTTCGACGAGTGTCATAGAAGGTCGCAAGAGCGAAAGAGCGGGAGGGTCGAGGTGAAGGGGGCTTGCCAGGAGAGCAGCCATCAGTGCGAACGACGCACGTGCGTGTGAGTGCGTGCAATTTAATGATTTCCAGCCGGAATTTCGATGACGCCGGGAGTACGGGACGAGGGGACCGGGGAACAGGAAGAGAGGAGGGGTGCGGGAGATGGAAACGCGCGGCCGGAAGAGAGAACGAGCGAGCGCGGCCGCGAGTTGGTCAGGGCCGGCGCGTTTCCGCTCGCGAATTCCCGTGCGAGGGATGAATGGAGAGAGATAGAGAGATTGGAATGCGGGAGAGAGATAGAAAGAAAACGAGGGAGAGAAAGAGAGAGAGAGAGAGAGAGAGAGAGAGAGAAGCAAACAGGGAGAGAGAGAAAGAGAGAGAGAGGGGGGGGAGAAAGAGGGAGAGGTCGAAACAAGAGAAAAGACGCTCGGTCGTGAGCGAGATGGGACGTAAATTTTCTAGCGGTGCGTTCATTTGTTCGTTGAACGAAATGCGAATGCATTATACATGGATTGCAGGGGACATTAATTTTCTGCCGTGGACGTGTAGTGGGCCGCGCGCGCGGCAGAACGGTAGGGCCGTGCCGGGCCGGGCCGGGCCGCGGGCTGCTAAGGGGGTGGCCGAGCGCGAGGGGGTGGGTGGCTATCCACCCGGCATATAACATTCACCCGGTACGAGACCCGGGGCGCACGGGTGTGCGGGACGATCAGCACACACCAGCGGTCAGACCGAGGTGGTGGAAAGGTGGGAAGGAGGGAGGTGGCGATTCCACGGGCTCTTTCGTGCTCACACGTCCAACCACGTGCGAGCTTTTGTCGGGCTTTCTACCTACTTTCGCGTGCCCGGTGATTTTGACGAGTGGTGCGGCGAGATGTATCGGCGCCGCGGAAAAAAATGCACTGGAAATGTCGTAAACGGCCGGCGGCGGCCGACGAACGCGCGAGATCTCGCGAAAAGAGTCGCAGGCGCGGCCGGCGTCAAAGGGTCGCTATGCGGCGAAAGGGCGAACGGGGTGGGAAATCATTGGACGTTCTGTCAGAGGTGTTTGATATTCCGAAAATGATTTGCGCCAACGCTAGAGGTAGAGCGACGGTATGAGAGAAAAGAGGGAGAGGGAGAGAGAGAGCGAGAGAGGATTGGAGGGTGTTGGCAGAGAGAGAAAAAAGAGAGGCAGGCAAACCGAGCGAATAGAGAGAAAGGGAGGGAGTGAGCTCAAGGGTAGTAACCGTACGTCAAAATTAAATGTTGAAATTCGTGTAGAATGTCTGGCGCGATAAATTCGTTCGTGCAACAATGATCACGATTTTTAATGAAATAAAATTGAAATTGTCCGGGCCCCGAAATGACGGATAGAATTTATGGCTCGCCCAAATGCAACGTGGCAACAAATATTATATTTTACCTATGGTTGTCCAAGCCAGACAATATTTCGAAATGTTAAAGCGCGAGATATTAAGAAAAAAATGTGTGATTAATCGTTTTTCAGATTGTAACTTGTATTGTACTCTTATTAGTAAAAAATTATAGCTTTTCGTAATCAATAACCGTTATGTAGTATTATTGTAACGTCTTTGTTCCATTGCGTATGAGGATAGGGTTTATAAAATTTGAGAGAGAAGTTCAATATCGAATGTCGGAATGAATACTTGCCGAAGTGCACCGATTCATCAAAAGTTCTTTATAATTCGTAATTCCTGCAGTCGACAAAGGGGGTTTCAAAGAGTTGGGGCTAGACCCTTCGACAAGGCAACCTCGAGCGATCCCTCTTCCCTCTCCCCGCACGTTGTTCCATCTCTTGTCCTTTCGTTTCGCACGCGAGATTTTAAATTTAATCATAACTCTTCGTAGATCCGCGCGAGACCACGCGAATTATTACAAGATGGCAAGCTATTATATTAAAATGAGGAATTATTTAATTATTTTTAAAAAACGCGTTGCTTCCGACTCGCGGAAGCTATACCGAAAGACTCATCTATCTTTCGGAATACGTCACTAATCATCAATCGTGTTGTCGCTTTTATTTAGCAAATTAGCGGAAACTTAATAATTAACAAAAATTCATTAACGAGAGATCATTGTATAAATCACATGTTATTGAGCATTTACGGATTAACACCTTTATAGTTAATGACACGGTCGATTAAATGACAAACGAGGTAGAAAAAAATGAATGCCAATTGCACGCTTGAAATACCAATGCTATGTATGTGTATTACCGCAATGTCCTTTTATTTTTATTTTTTTTTATTTTTTATTATCGTGCTCGGCGTCAGCGCAACGTTTATCGCATAATAGTGCGGGAAAACTGACTGTTTTCGTGGAAACGAATGACCGGCCGTGCGTTCTATATCATTATTTCCCTTTTATGAACGGGAGAAAGAGAGAGGTGTGCTCACTTTGTAACCCTTCTCGGCACGTTTGTTTCTACCGTCGCTGCTTCCGGTAACGTCAAGCGCACAAAAAAGACGAATATTACGTATGTGCGAGCGTACACGTGGGCGAGCTCATCATTCTACAAATAAATGTTTCAACCCGCAATTAAGCGCCGACAATAAGAAACCACTAGGCTTCCCCCCGATACCGCTATTGTTATAACCGGTATATTAATACGTTTTTAATTGTAGCGCGACAGAAAACATACGGTCTCGGGCGGAGGAGGGAAAAACCAAGTGTCCCTTCATAAAAATTCCAATAGCGCCTTTTCTAACGTTCTTTTTTTTCTTCTTGAACAAGACCATCCTTGTTGCATAATTAAATATTTTCCCCACGTAAAAGAATACTTTGTTTCGACATGTCTGAGTAACGTAAAAAAAAGGACTTAGTCACTCGTGAAAAAGCCGAGACCGCCGAGACCGTATGTTTCCTGTGGTAATTAAAAACGTATTAATACACCGGCTTGTAACATCGGTGACATCGGAAGTCCAGCGGTTTCTTATGTATACACAAATGCTTCAAGTCGTATATTTTAATTAATTATTTGGGAATGATAAGTGATCATTAATTTATTCGCATCGTGTATTCTAGCGAAGCATAGAACAAAATTTGCATGAATACAAAATGTACTTATACGCGGAAGTGGATTCTTATCATAAATAAGTTAACACAAATGCAGCACGCCTTCCACCTCGTGTGAAAACACCTATACAAAAGTGTCTTTCCTCCACTACACTCATTTCAGGTGGGAAGTAAATAGGAACGATCAGCTTGCTCGTTTTCTCCAGGAAATCGCTTCCTTTAATAACAGACTTGCCAGTGCACAGTGTGCCATACCATCATTCTAAAATCCTACTACTTTTATCGTTTATCGTACACAAGGAGGCTTTCATTATCTTTCGCAGCGAAAAAAAATGTATGCTTAAAAATGCATTTCGTAAAGGTCTATCCAGACAAACTTGCATAGCGCATAAACATAAGCATAAAAAAATTGATTGGTCCATATACATGTGCATAAGGAAATAGACCAATCCATTTCTTTATGCATATGCTTATGCACCTATGCAGGTTTGTCTGGATTGACCTTTAATCGCGTTTTGTTTTTGCGCTCGGAAGTTTCAAATGCCAGCACGCGATAAAAGATTGCAGAATCTAATTTTGCTCGCTAGAGTTATTTTTATTAAATCGAAGACGATGAAATTCTCCGATGAATCACGCGATTGAATAAAAGATGAATCTTGTGGAACGACTGAGAGTAAGAGGAAGAGGTAGGCGAGAGAGAAAAAAGAGAGAAGTAAAGAGGTAGAACGAGAGAGCAGAAGGAACAAGTGCCCGGGGTAAAAAGGATTGGGGAAGAATGTCGATATTAATAAAAGTTAAATTGAGCCAATCGCTTGTGGGAATTAGAATCGAGTCCACTCGAACGGCGGAGCCGTGGAGAGGAGAAAAAAAAAACGCAATAAAAACGCAGCGGCAGCTGAAGGCATTCTGCCTCTCGAATGCTGATCGATCGAGGCGATTAAACGATCGAGAGGCTACGTTATTTTATCATTATTACACGGGCGGGGCGCTTAAATATTCGTATTTTGAAGCAAACAGAAATTTTCCTGAGACCGTGCAATAAATAACATCGCGCATTTGCATGGAAAATATTTACGCGTTAGCCACCTCCAATTTGCGCAGTAGTCGGCGCTGTCCGCGCCTTTCTGCCCGTGGTACGGAGAAAAATGCGGTATTTTTCTTCCCACCTACTCTTCGATGTAGATGTAGAAACCTGTTGCATGCCCGTAAAAAAAGCGGCGGGGAAAAAAAGCCGAGAGTCACTGACCAGCCAATTCACTTCCTAAGCGCGTTTTTCCACATAGCTTCTACCTTTTAAGAGCGAGCCGAGGAGTGAGAGACATACTTGGCGAGCTGACAAACGAGTCATTAATGACGTTTCAATCTCTTCATCAATCTTCGTCGCGCCAGACCGCGAGGACAAAGTTAATATTGAATGTGTGATACGTTAAACGGATGATACCTACTCTTACACGCCAATCAAAAGTAAACGGTATAAACGGCTTACGGAACATGAATACTTTACGCATGATTACGAATAATAGGAAAGCACCGTGACTACTATAAATAGATACAAATACGATAATCCATCGAAATATGAAAATTTATTTTTAAAAATAAAACTTGAAAGTTTTCAATAATTTGCAGTAAATATTGTCATTCATTATTAAAAATTGTCATGCGCGACAGTTGATGGTAGAAAGATTTATGGATATGCCCATACACTTATTCATCTTTCGATGGAAGATAAAATTTGGAATTTCGAACGATCTCTAGGTGTAGGAAAATCACGTGGCATGACCGGTGCGAATTTCCCGATCGAGCGTGTATGGGGCCGTTACGTGTTCCACCGTAACACAATTTACGTACGCTCGTGCACAGCCGCACGAAATTCTAATACGCCTTACGGTATCTGATCGCAGGTGAACGACCGTACAAGTGCCATTTACCGGACTGCGGGCGGGCCTTCATCCAACTGTCGAATTTGCAGCAACACCTGAGGAATCACGACGCTCAGGTGGAGCGGGCGAAGAACCGGCCGTTCCACTGCAACATCTGCGGCAAGGGTTTCGCCACGGAGTCCAGCCTCCGTACCCACACGTCGAAGGTCAGTCATGTATGTACCAAATCCGACGTCCAACTCGCAAATTCGCTGATACGCGGTGCCGGTAATTAACCGAAGGGGAAATGAAAAAAGAAGAAGGATCGGATCGATTTCGGTGTGATCGCGCGTAAATATACTTTCGCTATAATCGCCTCTAACGACCGAAATCTTATATTAACTCTTTCTCACGTGACACGTTCTCGTTATTCGTACACGCACGCATATGGTGGTGGTGGGTTCACGCTTGCCTCGATACTTGTACAGATAGATTCCCGTTTAAACGCTCTTTGTCCGCCGTTTCCTTTGTTCCGTTTCGAGAGCTCCCTATATAATCGATGCAAGTCTCAAGCAAGTTAAAACAGTCGTCGTCATCGTCGTCGTTGGAGATGCGGCGGACGTGTCGGGCTTAAGTGCATACCGGCAAACATCAAGCTTTGCGAATAGAAAATTCAAATCCAAGCACGTCCCAACCTAAATAATCGCGCCATCAATTCTTAGTCTCTCCCTTTTGTAGATAGCATATATTTATTCTATCAAAGTAACCATATATCGAGGAGCTTTGGATAATTCCTCTGGGATCCTTCGCGGGGTGCTTGGGCTTGCTTTTGCCTCTGAATTCTCATACGGCGCTTATCATCACAGAATCGACGTTACACGATCAATCGATTTGAGAAAATCAAATAAAGATTGTCGCTTGAATTCATAGAAATTACAGCGATCCTCTAACAGAGATGACAGGACAGTACTTGAAGAAACCGATCACGGCGAATAATTAACGCCCTCGACAGAAATCCGACCAACAAAGATGTCACGACGGGCGAGAAGCTCTTTGACACGTTGCTGCATTACAAGCGATAGACCGAAGGATTTTCTCATACAAATCGCCGTGAATGAACAATCGTTGTTTACACGCGCACGAACTTCACGGTGGCCAAGGGTGCGTGACACCGACCGGTTATTAAACGGACAGAGGTTTATATAAAAAAAAAACACGGTCTGATCTGAGAAAAAGACCATGACCCCCGTGCCCGTTAATCGAATTCACCCCTCGCTCGCGTGGAATCGCGGCTCGCAGCGATTACCGGCGGAATCTTGTATCGTGGGGCAGTTTTTTGCCGCCGCCGCCCCACCCAGCCGGCAACTGAATTTCTCAACCCTTTCGCCTTCCGCGCCGGGCACATGTCTCAACGAAAAAACGTGGGAAGGCATCTGTCGGCTTGTACGTAAGGCGCTCTTATCCCTTTCTTTCGTTCCTCTTCTTCATCTCCTTCTTCTCTTCCTCCTTTCTCTTCGCCGCGAGAAAAGACGTTCAAGTTTTTCTAATTTATGCTGATTACGTTACGTAACAATTCGTAAAACAACATTTCTACTAATGCGTTTGCCTTAACCGTGAAACATGACATTTTATTATTTTATTCATGAAGGCCGGGAATTAAATACTAGATAATAAAATATGCAAAATGTAGATCATCGTCATATTTCGAGACGTTCGATTTTCGCGAATCGCGGAATCAGGTGCGGCGCGTCCAGGCTTACGCGAGCTTAATCCGTTCACACGTCGGACGCCCCGGCAATAAATATCGTTCTTTTAACGCCCGGCTCATCGGGCCGCTCTAATTGAAACCTAATCCACGGCTAAAGCCTACAGATTATCCCGTTACCGTCCCCCGCACGACCCCGATAAATCACCCGTGAAATCATGTCGACGGCCCCCGCCTTACAAGCCCACCAATTTTTTTTCTTCCTCTTAAAAATGCGCAGTTACGAAAGAATGAACTGACGCATAATGACGACCCTATTACCGCCACCGGTTTTTTACGCGCCGTGCGATAATCCTCGCACTAATGAGAATATTTTTTGCAGTCGAGTTATTTGACCCTTCGTTTTTTATATATAACGGACGGCCTTGATGAGATTTTCCAATGGTAGGGCTCGCCCTGTGCGAAACTATTCCTGAATAGCTGGCTTATGCGCGCGAGATCAATGTGTCAGATTAAATACTAATACGAAATATGCAGCAACGTATCAAGCCGCGAGAACGGCGGCGTTGTCCAGGTTTATCGGCAAAAACATCAGGATGCACGTAGCTCGCGTTAAAGGAGGAAGAAAAACCACGGGAAGCAGCGAGAAGAAATGGAGAAGATGCAGAAGAACGGGAAGAAGGGAGAGAAGATCTTACGGCGAGAGCGCAGCGGCGAAGTAATTAAAAGCCGCCGGCGCGAGCGCGAGCGCGCGACAGAAACAGAGTACGCCTGCTGGAAATAAAACGAAACGAAACGAAACAAATGGAGAGCTCGAGCCCATCTTCCGCGGCTAATCGAATTTTCGCCGGGGCAGATTTCTTGAAATTGTTTTCGCTATTTCAAACCGCCTAGCCGCCCGTCTCCTTCGCGCCGGCTGCTACCCCGATAGCTAATGGATCGTTGTTTAAAAAAAACCAGCAAGAGAAACAGAGAAAGAGGAAAAGCAACCGGAACACGAGATAGCTCGAGACGCAGAGAAAGAGAGAGAGAGAGAGAAAGAGAGAGAGAGAGAGAGAGAGAGGGAGACAACGAAGAAAGAGGAACGGCTCACGGAAGTACGGTGGAGAGTGAGGGGAAATGAAAGAGTTACGCTCCAGGTCGAGGCCTGGCGTGTCGGCGAAACATTATCCCGCTAAGAAAGACAATACACTCAGAGTACAATATTATAATAGGCTGGAGCGTAAATGTATTATAGAGAACGATCGGTAGCCCGGGCATAGAAACTCGTCTATGGTACCTACACATCCCTCTCCTCCCCCTTCCCATCTCCTCGTCCTTCTCTTCTCTTCTCTCTCGGTGTATCCTATTAACTGTTACCCTCTTCCCGCTCGGCTCGGAACAGGGGCGGATCATCGCAACGATACACTGCCGCGATATGTCTCCGGTTAATACGGCCACGCTCCTAAATTTCGCGTCGCCGAACCACGAGAGAGTTCATCCTCACGTCGAAATTTCTTCTCGCTTGTCATCAAGATATAAAATCTCCCAATCTCGTAATACATTGTGTCCGTGCGAGTACGAGCTTTCTCTCCCTATCTCTCTCTCTCTTTTATCTTCGTCGCGAGACTTTTATTTCCTTATCTGGACGGCACGCGAATTTGACCGTAAATGAGAACGCAAAATTACGAATATTTTACCGAGAGACTCGCGAATTTTTGGCCAGCCCTGATCTCTTCTCGCCCTCTTTCTCCTTCTCGTGGCTCTTAGCCACTTTCACATGGCGCGCAGCCTTCCGTATTTATCCGTAGTTTAGCGGTACAAGGGTTGAATGTCGTGCAACACGATACAACCCCCTTTTCTACCGCCTCGCGGACCTTCCTCGCGTATCTTCCGACCTTCTTCCGACTCACCTCCGGGGCCTTCCTGTCATCCCTCCGTTCTCCGGACCCTCCTCCACCCCCCTCTTCTTAATTGCCCCGGCGCGCGGCTCGGTAAAAACTCGTTAACCATTAGATTTATTTTCTCTCGCCACGGAGATTTATCCCTCTCCCTTTGCTGTGCTAAAAACCGCGCGGTGGTTGTATCACGTTTAACGCTAGATTTTTTTTACACGTGCGATCCTCGTTGGCCGCGTTCGGATTGATGTGCCTGCGATAAATGTAAATCTGTTTGCGCGTGGGATGGAGGTGGTTTTATCCGCTTATCGCGCCGTATTTTCGCCAACACGGGGCGCTAATTAATTACCGTGCTCGCGGTATTTACGCGATGTTTTTTTTTTTAACTTCTTCCGCGAGAGCGTACACGATCGGTATGAACACTCCTGAAAATCTAAACCTATGACTGACGATTTAATGGTATCACATTAATTCAAATTGATCTCCATTTCATGCTGGTCTCTTTGTCGCAGTGTTCGAAGTACCCATGGCAACGATTAAAGGTAAAACGATCGGGTCAATATGTGGGAAAGCCTATGGGAATTCCTTTCGGCTGTAATTTCAACTCGTTTCACGACGCGTTTACATGTTCACTCGTCACACCTGTAAAATTGTGGTTTCCGATTTTCATTATAATGATCCATTCGCGCGAAACACTAACGCACACACACACACACACACACAAACACAAACACACTATTTACACATATGCACATCCTCGCCTGTTACGCAGTTTTCTCGAAATACGCGAAATTATGATAGCGTTATGGCGCAAAATTATGACGGCGCTTTCGCATTTTTCATGCGTCTGATACACGTTACCTATTTAATTAACGGCGCGTCATGTGAAATTGTATATTGCTGAATGCAGACAGAGTATCGCTGCCTGATTGATCTCGCGACGCAAAGACTGTGAAATGATTATAATGCGGCTCTTGTTCCTTTTTTTTCCTACGTCATGAATATGCAATTCATTAATGTCTCATGTCGCGACAGTCATAATAGCAACAGTCATGGAGATGTACGATGATGTATCACCGAAGAGCGCAACACAAACGCTTTCGCCTGTCGATCGCGGCTAATTGCCGCTTCTTAATTTCGGAACGCTCTTCTAATTAAGCAAGGTTCGCTCCACACTCCTCTCCGAATACCTCTCCCCTCTCAGATTCCCAGTACAGCCTCTCTCTCTCTTTCTCTTTTTCGTCGGTAAACATCACTGGCTGGCGAATCTCCAGAAGGACTTTTCACTCTTTGTCTCTTTTGCGGCATTAAAATAGAAAAGTGGGACGATCTTTCGCGGCAAAACCCCTCGAAAATCGGCTCGCTCTTACGAGATTTTGTACTCGCGATTTTTTCGTTCAGTCTTTTTCCCCGCAGCAACTTTCGCATTTATTTTAGTTTCTTTCACGTATAACAAAAAAACATCACTATAAAATATTTTAGGATAATATCTCCGCACTTATCGCCATTTTCACATTAACTTCGATTATTTTTACGACTACTACTTCGAGTAAGCTTCGTGTAATTTTCACATTCGCGAATCCATTTTCCGATCACGCGCTTCGAGCTTTCCTTCTTTCTCACACTCCGAGGCATTAATTTTTTCGACCCCGCCTCCATGACTCTTTCCGTCTCTATTTTTTTCTCTCCGTGTTCGATCACCAGCGCGGACACTAATGAAATCATTCCCGTGGCGTTCTCGATAGGGTGGGATTTGTACCCCCATTGTACCGACGCCCCTACGCGCTCCTTTTTTTCCGCTCGCCTAGTCGAACGCGTTCGGGGTCGACCCGAGCCTCCTATTGGCACAACACGGAGGGTGCTTCGTCGTCAACCCTCGTCGCGTTAGGTAGATTCGCTTTTTTTCTCCCTCATTCTCGCCTCACGTCGTTCGTCAATGACTGATTTTCACGTACGTGTGTTACGCGCGAATTATCAGCGCGCGACTCTTGGAAGTGGATTAATAACACGGGATGGCGATGAAGAACGAGTCGCGGGGTGACTAGCGATGCATATTAATTCCTATCGATCGCACGTTTTTTATATATTTTTTTCGGGTCCAAGAACGAAACGACCACGAAGGGGATGAAAAATCATATAACTATTTAATATCTCTGAGCATATTATCACGAGAAAATTGTTCTTGAGCAAAACAAAAATCTAGAAGCTCTCAGAGATACTTTCGATGTCTTTTATACATCCTTTGGACTTTTGCGTTGTTTGTGTTCTTCTCATCATTCGACCGAAAGCTCCGAAAGCAGCTATGAGTCAGACGCGAACGGAGAAAGGGAATCAAGAATTTCTGGTGCCTTCCTTATCGGGAGACAAAGCGTTCTCGTCTCGAGAAAATAACGTTCGCGCGAGCGAGCGAGCCGAAGCGAGGGAGCGTGCTCTTTCTTTCGGACGAAAGAGAAGGAGGAGATGAGCAAGCCGGTGAATATCTCTTAGCGGATTCCGCGAGCCGCGCTGGAGCCGAACGAACAGCCCGAGTATCGTACCGAAGGTTGTCTGCCGCCGAGTCTCGCGGCCTCGTCACTGCTAAAAAAGCCAAGGAAAGACGGCGGCGGCAAAGAAAAAAAAGAAGGAAAGAAGGAACGACGGGAGGGCGGGAGAAAAGAATTGCGCACCGCGCGCAAAACGGCCTTCGGATTTTATCGCCGCCCGAGGAAAAGAGTGGAGCCCGCACGTTGTTGATTATTGGCCGCATTTAAAATGCGCTTTTATAAATTGTAATTCGTAAAACCGTTAAAAAAAATCAGAACAGAAGAAGGAATATAATTCTATCGTATATACAGGGGTGTTATATCGTGCCACATATTAATAGCGTATTCCGAAGATTATAATCACAGTTAAAAATCCTAACATGAAAATGTTGAGATTGTAATAAATTTCGAACTATAAGTGATCAATAGTTGGCCAATAGTATTTCGTCAATTTTTCGCGCTCAGATCCGTAATTATATTGTGATATTAAAAATGATATTTCAAACTGGCAATAAGTACGAAGAAACTATAAAAAATTAGAATAAACTTAGTGCATAATAAAAATTAATATATATAATCAATAGCATATTTTTTATTAAATGAATTAATTGAAATATGCTATATTAATTGAATATTGAATATAAATTGTTTTACTCATGCTTATGACTTATACATATTTAAAACATTTCTGAGTATTGATTTCTTTTGCAATATATACATTATTCAATCTTGGAAAAATATAGATAGTTCAAACGCACATTTTAAATTCTATCAAATTTTTTTTTTCCAATAGAAAAAGAAAAAAGAGAAAGAATAAAATAATTCCTCTACCAAAAAAGAATTTAATTATAATACAATAATATAATAATATATTATATTCTCATAATGTTCTTGTGCTACAGAGTGCTTGGCAAAGTAGAAATAATATCTTTAGTAGATTTAGAAACAATTTCTCTTTTACGAAAATTATTATCATTATTTATCACATTTTATCAAGCCGATTCTACTTGTAAAATATTTCTTATAATTTCTTATTTATATTCACTTGTGAGTTTTTCATATAAAAGTTTCAAGCAATTGATGTGCATTTCATTAATGAGATACCAATAGATGATCGATATAACGAGCTTAGTGCATTTGTCGGTCGACAAGTAATTGCATAAAATCCAAGATTAAATATTGCACAAATCCATCTTAGCCTATCCATTTTAAAGCAATGGATGTAGGAGATGCTACATTTATTTGATATCTTAAAGATTCCGATACGAACATGTATCTACATAGATCCATTACTTCAAATCTATGGTATGTAAAATACTCATCGATACGATGCGCAACAGCGGAATTGTAAGTTATACATCGCAGATTACGATGAGGTGCACGATAAAAGTGTATCCAAATTATAATATTTAAAATAATTAATATTTCAAGAAATAATGGTTACATAGAATATGTATAATTATGAACAATTATTTCAAGCATAAAATAATAAACTTATCCAAAGATTACTCCGCCGTCGTCGGCGGACCTCCTCTTAGATTTCTTCATGGCACTCACACTACACATTTGCGAAAACACGACTAATTATGATCGCCCGCGCACTAATTACCACAATACAACGATCGCGCAGCACTTTATGCCATGCGATACTGTAAATTAGTTTTTGTATCATTGTTACGAAAAAATAATACGGGAAAAGCGTGATCGTGCAAAGCTACGATTTGCTCGACATTTCATGTCAATTAGCGCGATGGAAGAATTTTTAACGCAGATAAAGATTTTAATAGATTTATCGACGTACGAACGAAGTTATGTTACTTTATTGAAACATATTAAAATGCAGGTTTAACTACGGCTAATTAAATACATCGCAATACTGATTGACTTAATTTAATTTATTCTTTGAGTCGATATTACTTTGAATCGTTCATACCTATTAACGACGGAAAAATCGCTAACAACTTTACTCGCGTATCGTACAACGCGACACGATTAATTATGATAATATTACTGATAACTATTCATAAGGAATGATCGCGTTTACTCCTAGTACTTGTCGCGATGGCGTCTCGAGAAATAATACATATCGAGTGGCTCGCGCCGTTACCTGCCGGTTTGCCGTCTCGCCGCGCGAACGTAAACAAAGTCGTGCAGTCGCGTATACAGAACAGTATGCCGTAAAAAGTAAGCGTAAGTCGCGTGCCACACAAATTATTATCACTACGAAATACAAGTATACATATACTATCTTTTGCAAGTCAATTATTAACAAACGATACATATTCACGTTGAATCGCTCGATTCCGAGCTCTCAATTCAAAAAATAATAGGTAGATAAAAATTTTCAACTGCGATGTAAAATATATTCAACTTCGAGCAACGGTTCGAAGATATAATTGTGTCACTGTAAATATTACAACGACAGTGATAATTCCTATCTCGATTCGCATTCGATATCTACTTTGAAAGAATTGATTGCGCGAAATATCTGTTTCGACAAGTAGACGTCGCCTTATAAACTGTTATTAAAGTTAACATTTTAAAGAATAAAATTTCGATCGAAAAATACTTATATAAATTTATTATTATTACCTTTTACCGAAAACCATCATGTTTCTAGGAGAATGAAATTCTGTGATTTTAATGAACCATGAGTTACAATTTTAAAACATCAAGAAAATAAAATTAAATTGCTCGCGGAGAATGTACTCATTTTTTCTTGAATTATTAAAATCGTTTAATTCCGCTTTTCTCTTAACGTAAACATTTAGTCACAGAATAATAATAATAAATTAAACATTCCTATTTTCCGGTCATAAAACGAAGATAAATTACATTTTTCAAATTCAGATTTAATATTAAATTTAATAATTGTTTTCAAGTGGAAAAATTAATAAATTCTTCAAATTTTTATTAAAAGAGAAACTTAAATAACATGTAACTATTAAAATGTGCTTGTTATCACCTGATTGCTATAGCACGGACACATCTGCATAAAAAGCTAAAAAGAAATAAACAGCTGAGCAATAAAATTATATTAAAATTAATAACAAATCAATTGCGTGTAAACATAGACTTGAACGCGCAAAGTTTGCGCGATACTATTGGCCAGTTTTAATTATTTATAACAATTTCAAATCTTCATATTAAGTTTTTTTAATTTAATTGCAATCTTTAGAATACGCTGGTGGCTATGGTTACCGTAGGGCGTTGTATACATTTAAACGTCGCAAATCACGGATGATATCGTATTGATTGTACGCACAAGCATAAAAAAAATCTCTCGTCTTGATTTGTTCTAATAGAATCGTTTTGCTAACGAGATCTCGGCCCTCGATCAAAGATGGTCCCGTCTCTATGAACACAAAATGGCCACATCGCGGCCGACGTCACGCACCGCTACGCGTGTGCTCACACCCACTTCCTTTTTACGCCACTCCCTGACCCGGGCCCGCGTCAGGCCTCGAGGAACGGATAATCTACGACCGGAATCGCTGGAAAAATCGAGGAACCAATCGGCGATAGGGTGCGAAAAAATCCGAGGGAGTAAGCGTGATCGTGTCGGCCGAGCAGTCGACCAATAATGTGATCAGATGCGCTCAATGAACAAAGGATCCGATAAAATTTATAATTACCGCCGCTTAATCGGAGGACCATCAAATACTTAATCACGGTTAAATCAAATACCAATTTATTTACAGTGCGATTAAAAATATCAGACACAGACGTCGCTTTGCCAACCATTGTATTCCCTCCCGTTATTATTCAGCAATTATCGATTATTTCTGATATTGATTAGCGCCACTGAAAATTTATTTTACAAACGAAAATAAGATTATTTGCAAATTTACGAGTAATTTCGATGCACACGAACGCTTTCAACCCTCAACAAAAATGATCAAATTAAAGTTTCTCCTTTCCACATTTATCTCGCATTTCGATATAATCGAAATGTTTTGAGGTATAAACAAAGAGTGCACGCAGAACCTATCGCGGTAGAATCTCCATATTTTTGACGAAGCGATGATCCCGGGGCAATACAGAAAACCGGCGGCTCTGGCAGATATATGTAGAGCCTCTTACCAGGGACCAGGAAGTACGGAATTGGGAATAGTAGCAAGAATGGAGTGCAGCGAGTACACCGCGCGTATAGCCTCGCGAGAGAGATGAATCTGGTCACGGCGGATCATAAAGTCCCTCGGGGATTCGCCCACGCCGCGTCCACTCTCTCGAGTCGAGAGAATAAATTGGAGGAACAAGGAGAGAGCGAAAGAGAGAAAGAAAAAAAAGAGAGAGGAAGAGAGAGAAAGGAGAGCGGGAAAGATAGGGAAAGAGAAAGAGAAAGAGAAGGGGAGCGACCGTGGCGAACGGGATGGAGAAGAAGGGAAAGAGCGTCAGAGAAGTCGAGACACTCGCGGCGCAAAAAGCGAGGATGCAGGCAAAAAAGGAAGAGCGCGACGAAGAAACCGGTTTTTTCCAGTTGGGCCAGGTCGGGGCGTCGAACCTAGGGACCGCAGCCTCCCTCCGAGAATAACTTACATGCAGCGGCGGCGGTGGCGGTGGCGGTGACGGCGGCACGGCCAGCGATGCCGTCCTCGTCGCCGTCTTCTCAACGCGCTCGCGGCTGCCCCAGGTTCGGGATAAAAAAGGAAATAGAAGGCATAAGTATGCCGGCGGTCGGCCACCCACTCTCGAGTTTATCGTGGGACAAGAGTGGAGCCGAGCCAAGCGAGAAGAAACACGCGCGAGAACAAGCGCGTACGCGCGAACGATGAAATCGAGCCGGGAGGAAAACCGGAAGGAGAAAACCGAAAATAAATGCGACTATGCGACGAGACGATTATCGTCCGATTGGTATCCTTTCCCTCCTGCTCTTTAGCTTTTCTAGCGTGGCATGCCGTCTCGCTTGTTTACGAGCGGGAAGAGTCGGGATTGCAGAAAATCAGGATTGCGCCGGCATCTGACACATCGTTAAAAATGTCGAGGAAAGGAGGAAGTATGAAGAGGCTTTAGATGAGCGTGTATGTACTTATAAAGAAGATACACATCTCCCTTTCCCTTCCGACACAAGGAGAAGAAGTCTATAAAGGCGAATGCGCAAAAATAAATCGCCGCGTTTAAGATGCGAAAAGCGGAAAATCATAAAGAACAGGACAATAGTACAGAAGAGATAGAAGATGCGCGTGAGAAAAAGGCGGCGAAGTCTAAAAAAATTTCGAAGTCATTGCCGTCAGAACTTGTTTTAGCCTTGTCCCGCTCCGTGTCCGTTGCCTCAACGCGTTCGCGATTGTCCCAGGTCAGGAATAAAAAGAAAGACGGAGACAGATTCGGGGCGAGGTATGTGGGAGGGAAGAGAGGCGAAAAAGTATGGGGAAAAGAAGAAGGAGAAGTTGCGAATCGGAGAAGCAAGAACAGGAAGGAAGAGAGGAATGGGGGGCCCCGAAACTCTTTGGGGTCATTGCCGTCCGGTCTCGTTTTAGCCCGTTCCTGCCCGTTCGCAACCTTCTCCTTCTTTCGCGCCTTTTTCTTTTTCTTCTTCTCTTACTGCCGTTTTAAGCACTCTTTCAAGCGAGGTACGGCCGCCGCCATGTTTTTCCTCGAGCGCGTGTATACACCTACCGCCTTGTATGCGTGCAAGCAACCTTCGCGTGTTCGGATAGAAAAAGAGGAAAAGAAAGAAGAGAGACGGACTACGATAAAAGGGGGGACGCAACAGAGAGGACAAAAAAAATGACACGAGGATAATGCAATCGGTGCGAATCGGTTCCTTACCGCGTGACGCGTCAGAGAATGAAGGGAGAAAAAAGTCATTCTATCTGGCACTAAGGACGTCGAATTTCATTTATGATTTCATTTTAATCCTGATTTTTATATGGCCGTTGGTAGCACAGCAAGTTCGCTATAAAAGATAAACCATACGATAGATCTTGTTTAACGTTAAAATGCGCAAAGCAGAGAAAAGAAGAGAAAGGAATGCGCAGATGCGAGCCGAAGATGTGTGCTAGCAGCGACCATGGTAGTTAAAACTGATGTATGGTACAAGCTAGTCATTCCATGCTTCGCATTCCCGTTCATGGGTGAGGTCGCACGGGGTCGATCGGAGGTCCAAGGTCGATGAAAGTGCTCGCTTTGTTTTCGCAACGCAACGTCTGGCATCGGCCTTTAGGTTTCATACATGCATACACGAGGTCGATGCCAGCAGCATTAACCGATGAAATCCCTGATCGCGCGGTTAAGGATTAATCCGCTCCGATCGTTCTCCGGACCCCACGCTTCCACATATTTGTCTGTCTAGGCTTCGCTTCAAGTTCCCCGAACATTGTATCTCCACGTTCCTACACCCCGAACCGAGTGCTCTGATCTGGCGTTAAAGACAATGTTTTTAATCGGTCAAGACTCTTCCTACATCTCTATTTTTGCATCATGAAAATTCCGAGATTACAAAATTAGAATCAATAACAAACGTGTTTGAAAAAAGCGTACATGGGCACAGTATTCCTCATAACAGCGATACGTTGGAGATTACGAACGTAATTCCAATAATGTCGAAATTTACATCTTACTCCTATCCCGTAATATTCCAAGAGCTACCTATGATCCTTCCAAGTATCTTTGCCGACGATTCACTTGCCGCAATCTAGCCATTTGCCAAACGTACGATACAATTCTTTTTTAAAGCAATATTGAAGATTAATTCATTTTAATTAATTGCAACATATTTAAAAAAATATTTCAAGATCAAAGTAAAAATATAAAAGGTTAAATGTTTCTCGTTCGATAAGCAATGAATAAATTGCGGTAGTAAATGGATCATTATTAAATGAAAATATCGCGATATATGCCTCAAAAGAGAAAATTTCGTCTTTTTTTTTGCTGTTTCGTTATCTCGATTTTTTTTCGATCGCACTTGACCGACTGGAAACCCAGCCAGGGCGCGATACCACAAAGTTCCTACCAGACACACTCGACATGAATTCCCTGTGCAAAGGAGTAGTCTGTGGTGGCGGCGGTTTATTGGTGCCTTAACTCTCACTGGTCAATCGTTCTGTTCTGTGCCCTGCCTGTCCTGCGCTTCTGGTTCGCAACTCTGTGGTGGTATTCTCTGGGTCGGCTCTCTACTACCGGTGCGCCGCGTGTGCCTGCTTCCGGTACTTCCTCTTCCGGGCCCCCAAAAAAGGAGTTGCAACAGCGTGTTGTGTTCCAGCAACACGCCGCCCTGATCGGCGGCCCGAACGCAACCAGCTGTCCAGTATGCCACAAGCTCTTCCTCGGCGGTGAGGCGCTGATGGAGCACATGAAGCACACCCACAAGGACCCGAACGCCTCCGGAGTTGCCAGTAAGTATTGAAAAATCGCGTATCAACCGCCCTCTCGGTCCGGTCGTCTATGTCTCTCTCCTTTCCATCAAGCGCGTTGCTTACCATCTCTCTCCATTCGCGCACCTACTAATCTTCGTTAACCATAACCGATCGATTAACTGGAATCCGAGCGCGGAGTCTCGTAAGCGGAGTGCATCGTTGCATGAAGCGAGCTTGAAAACGAAACCTTGACCGTATCGTTCCTCACCGATTAATTAACGAACATAACGTCAAATTTCGCGCTCGCACGTTAACTTTCCGGGCGAAAGACTTAACTCTGCCCACTCTAACCGCATTTAACTCTTCGCCAGAATCCTTAAGCAGGATTGCGAGGAGCCCCTTAAGGGTTCCGATGATAGAGAAAGAAAGAGAGAGACCGACATAGACACGAGAGCGGCGACGTTAATCGTGAGTAAGACTAAGAAAAGAGGTGCGGAGCAACCGCTCGTCAAGACACGAAGGGTGGTTCGTTCTTTAGCCTTTAAGTACGTTTCGCATCCATCCCAAAAACTTGCTTTGGCGCGGGCGATACGCACACATTGTCCTTGTTCACTTCTTCGTACTGGTTTTCGCCTGGGCGGGAAAGGCGTGTAGCATTTGGCACACTCGCCGACTAATACTTGGGTACTTCTCGCTAATACATGTACACGGTGCTTCGAGGGTGTCTCTCGTTCGACCTCTATGCGTGCCTTGACACATGCGTGCGCGATACGTGTGCGGACTCGCGGACGTACAGAGAACAAAAGTCAACCTACTCTGCTTCTTCGTTCAACTTTAAAGCGAGGAATCGGCGTTTTATTCTTGATTGTGAGTGCGCCGACACGGTGGTCTGTCACAGTGATCGACATGGTCGGCATTTGAAATGTGAACGCTAACGGATCGCGCCTATTGCGGGCGCACGTTGAGCATATAACGTTATCGTTATTTCGAGCGCAAGGACTTAGATCGGAATAAAAAATCGACTAAGATTGACAAGACGAGTGATAACTTTTCATCGTTTTTACTCGATATAACAAATATATAGCGAGTGTTTTTCGATATAAATAACCTTTTTTATCGACGAGTTTTCTTTTTTTTTTCTCTGTACGTTCGCATTCGTGCAACGCGCGCGAGTACGTCTGTGTGCATCCTGGCTTTTTGGGCCAGCGACCTTGCTCGTGAAAGGGAGTTAAGCAGCGCGGTGGCGACGGCGCCGGCCGACGAGTACTCTGCGTGCCCGAGGTCAGTGCTCTCTCCTGGTCCTTGGCTACCCGCGTCCGTAAGGTCTCCCTTCGCCTTCGAGGTCGACCGGAATCTGTGCGTACGTACGCGCGCGCGTGCACGCGAGTGCGTGAGAAATAAGGTGGGGGAGGAAAAAAAAGAGCGAAAGAGAGGGAGAGAAAGAGAGATGTGAGAAAACATGAGGATGGTGAAGGAGTTGGATGAGGAGGAGGCGGCTTTCGTTCCTTGGGACGCTTTATCCTGCTTGGCATTGACCTTGAAATTGTGTCGCCCTATTGTTCCCTCCGCTGACTGCACAACCTCCGTTGCCGGGGTTTACCTAGCGAAGCGACGGACCGCCAACCACCCGTGCCCAGTGTGCGGGAAGCACTACGTCAACGAGGGTAGCCTTAGGAAGCATCTGGCCTGCCATCCTGAGACCAGTCAACTTAGCACGAGCCTCAGGATGTGGCCGTGCTCGGTGTGCCAAGCCGTCTTCACTCACGAGAGCGGTAAGTATTTAGCCCACGTAAACGCGAAATCGGCGGGCCGATCGGGGCCCGACGGTAGCTCGGGGTTCGATGTTGAAAGTAAATACAGTTCAGTTTCATTCTGTGCTGTAAAACTTATGATTTTCGTTCTGTGGAGTATAACGTGCGTCTACACCAAGTAACACTTATTCGTCCGTATACGCGCGACCATACGATCGTCTTTCTATACTGTGACCACGTTCGTTTTCCTCTGGTGTTAAGGTCTCCTGAGCCACATGGAGCACATGAGGATGGACCCGAAGCATCAGTTCGCGGCGCAGTACGTGCTGAGCCGCGCGGCCGCCGAGAGGCGGGAAAGGGAGATTCTCGCGAGTTCGAGTTTAGGTATAACAGACAGACGTTTACATTTATCTAATTATTAATGTTAAGAAATTTCGAGCGGCGTCGAAACCGTCATGTTGTTAGAAAGTTACGACATTACACGACGCCGATGCGGTGCTCTAACGCAACATCTTTACGCTGTACAGGAGCAGGTTTGGGCGTGTTGGGAGGAAGTCAGTCCGGAGGACCGCAAAATTTGCAACAACCACCTATGTGCCCGTCGCCGTCGGCCCATTCGGATAGCAGTAGCGGCAACGGAAGACTGTCGTCGGCCGGTAGTGAACCTGGTACGCTACGATACTTGTTCTACGTCTACTACTTACAAACGAACGCCCACCAAGTATCTAGATATAATAGATATAATATTGTCGCATTTGCTCGAGCACAGTTTGTAACCTCGCCGTTATTCACCTTTTTTTCTCTGATTTCGTTAATGACATAACTCTGTTGTGATGTACCATTAGTGAACTTATTGTAGTACACGTAAGCTAGAATATATATGAATATATATGCTTGAGTCGAAATAAAATATTTACGAATTTCTGGTCTGAGTAATAATTCTCTCATGTGAACGGCGCTCACTACGGTCTGCTATTACGGGCGACTTCCACTTCGGAATGTTGCCTTTTTAACGCTTTAGCGTGCCGATTTATATACCGACGCGGAATGACATATGCTACCTAGTTTGGCTAGTAAAATGTGCGTGAAACCCCCCCGCCTGTCCGTCGCCCTGTACATACTGACGAGAGCAGATTTTTGCGCAGGCACCGGTCTACTGAACAACAACAACAATAACAACAACAACAATATGGCGTCGCCGGGGCCGAGCGGCAACAAGCTCAGCGAGATACTGCGAACGGGAAGTCAACCGGGTTCGGCACAGCAATATCACGATGAGATGCAGTCGCAGCAACAACGTATGGCTGTCATGGCCGCCGTGTCAGCGGGTAAGAGAGAATAAATAAATAATATATAATAAAATCATGTTTAACGAGAACTAGTTGTGCCCCGATCTAGCAGATCGATCAAGCGTGCGACGCGCGAATCTCCGATGACTGCGTTATCACTTATCAATGCGAAATTGCACGAGAGGGGAAATTGCCGATAGCTTCGTTCCAATTATTGCCGATAAAACTTGATTTACAATGTTGTTTCTCCGCTCACGATGTTGCATTCGCGTTGCCCGCTTTTCTCGTGTCTTCGACGAGAACTCGATCGAACGTTTATAAGTAGCGTTCGACGTGACTGCATTTGTTGCCGAGGAAAACGATGTTTCTACATTGCAGAAACGCGATTCACGATTATCGATACCTCGTGTGATATTACAGCAAGTTAATTTAGTAAAATTTATCGCGCACGCAGTTTCTTTCGCGGAGCTTTGCGAGTCGTAACTTGTCGAGAAACTCGCCGAAGAAACGACGATAGGAAAAACAAATATCGGAATTCCTTACCGTCATCCTTCTCCTGCCCCTCTCTCTCTGTCTTCCCACGATGAAAGCGCGGGACGCGTTTGCGAGCTACCCTCCTTGACACGTGTTCCGCAGATCGTGGTTCACTCGCGATAGTCCAAGACTCTGAAACACATCGTATGAACTACTTGAAATTTAAGATTGCGAAATGAGATGTACATTAAAATACACCTTACGATCTATTCATATTTAAAAAAGATTTGAAAAGCGCGGTATATATTCTTTATAGGCAAATTTTAAATCACTTTCGATGGTAAGCGAGATGTGAAAGCGATATTTCTGTTAGGATTGCAAAATTCCGTATCACCTAATCTCTCACCGGTCGACATGGCATCGCTGGCAGCGGCTATGAGAATGGGCAATAATGGTGACATGAGCGGTAGTACTCAAGGATCGACGGGACCCCAACAGCAGGGAGTGCAAGCGAGCGGACCGGAGCAGGCTTTGAGGATGCATCAGGCGGAAGCTCTGCTCCGTTCGCAAGCCGAAGCTGCCCTGAGACTCGCGGTAAGAAAAAATCTAATTTTTCGTATAGACTATTTTTTAGTCACAAAGTATAGAAACATACATGATTCAATATATTCACACTCATCATCTTGAGTATTCGGAACGTATGTTATAAACATACAAAAATTTAAAGAATAACGCATAAATTATATTTCTTGTTCGACGAAGAAATAATTTGAAAAAAATAGGCTAAACGTTTCTTAATCTTTTTCCACTTTTCAATCTTTTTTCACATTTTTACACACAGGTATCTCAAGCGGCGGCAGCTGCCGCAAGTTCTGCGGTGGGTGGCGATGTGAGACATCATTTGGGACAGCATAACGGAGGTAGCACCTCCGGTATGCCGGGACACCATACGAACCAACAAATGTCCCAACAGGATACCCTAACGCCGGATCTCGGTAAGTATTACAATACGGATTGGCGGACATGCCTATTGCGCGTCCAAGTCTGAGCTCGAGGCTTTTTCGAGATGCGATTTGCGGTGAATGTCTTCTAACGGGACGTCGACACTTGACACCTTTCAGGAGAAGCGCTACGGCTGCAGGAGCAGCGATTAGAGCAGGCCCTCAGGCTTCACGGTGGCGACCCGCGCGCCCTGAGTTTCACTCTGGCTCAGCACGTCGTCAACCAGCAGAGCAATCAGCAACCATGAAAATTCAGTTACTACTGAGACGAGTGGACCCCTTGGGCGTCGGATCAGACGACCCTGCAGCAGAACGAGCGCTTGAACCAGCAGCAGTCGCAATCGTCGACTGAGCGCTCAACGCCGTTGCACGATCAGCAGCAACAACAGCAGGGCCCGTCTTCCATCGGTCATCACCAACAGCAGCACCAACAGCAGCAGCCTGAAGACCGTGGTGTCAAGAGGAAAGCCGATGAGATGATCGGTAACTCCGAGAACGCGTAAAAGCGATTACGTTTGTTGCGGTCGACGTGACGAAACGTCATCGTCGTCGCTAACGTAATTCGCCCCTGCGCCCAAGTGTGGTCAACAGAATTTCACTCGCTGTCTCAGCAGTAAGAAAACGTCAAACAAACGCAAGAACTTCGTGAGAAAGAATGTGTATTTCGGTGTCTTCCTCGGATAGAACCGATATGAGGCCGGACCTCAACCGGAAATTGATCGAGGGTATCAACCCTCGGTTGACGAACTCTCCGGATGGGACCGCGCTAGACGAAGGGAGGAGAGTGAGAATACGTACGTGTATAGCAAAACCGTTGCACGGCGCGAGGCGGTCGCAGATCGCAGTGGCGACGGTCGTCTCTCGCGATTCTCAGCGCGTTTTCCGCGCGGTTGTTCCGCGTCGTTGTTCCTACACCGGTCCTGGATCCAAGGATCTGTCGAACGGACTCCGCGACGGCGTTTTCACGTCGTCTTCGTGTCCCGTTAGGATTCTCAGGACACGTCGCCACTGCCGTACCACCGCCTCGACTTCCGAAACGTGCCATAATAACTAACGAGAAGCTGCTTAAAAAAAAAACAACAGTAAGTCATCCCGGGCGTTCCGTTTCGGGACGATCCGGGGTGCGCCCCCGAGGTACTATGATCTTTTAGTACAAGAGCCGATCAAGCGGTACGCGACGGTGCCGAGGGTCCAACGGGCGATTCCTCGACCGTCTCGTGCTGGCCAGGCTCAACAAACCTAAACTATATATAAATATTATACATAGATACGTCTATCTCCACCGAACCGCGCTTAAAAAGGTTCCACCCCCTAAACCCCCTAATCGTAAAAAAAGCTCCCGTAATGCTTAAAGAGCGAATCGCACACCAATAACACCCCACGTACGCAGGCTCATCGTGACGTGTGTGCGTCGCGCGGTCGCGACGAACGTTCCACCACCGGCGAGTGGTGTCGTGTCGTCGCGTTGTACGGTTGTTAATTATATACGTACCGAAATCCCCTTCCCCGTGTGTGTGTGACAGACAGACGCGACGCAATCCGTACGGACGTTCTCTCACTTGCGATCAACGTTTCGCGCGACGACAAAGCGACGTTGACATTTCGCGCTGCACGAGAAAAGAGCGTCGTCGGACGTAACGCGTCGGAACGGATACGTACGCACACACACGAGCATACACACGTAAATACATTACACACCATTACACATATGTACACATGTACAATACATATATTACAAAACTCATCAGCAGCACACTTTTAAGGTGAAGATATAATGCGCGCAACTTGTGCTCGTCGGTAGCACGAAAACTATTAGCTCATAAGCGAACAAACAAAATATAGTTATTACAAACAGTTATATTATATATATTATATATACATACAGAGTATGAAGAGTATGACAGAGACAAAAAAAAACGGGCGAAACCCATTCACACTTACACGTTTAACTGAAGGTGCGGTAAGCGTGAAAGAGCGAGCATTTTTCGTGAGCAAAGCACGCGACGGAGAAGAGAGAAATAAAAAACTAAATGCTAAATATTATATATATTATATATATAAATATTATAAATAATGAATATAGGGTCTATGAGACTAGGATAGTTAGGCGAAAGGGAAATACGAGTGAATGCGGAGCGCGCGCCCCCGTAAGTTTTACGTGGTCCCAAGCATTGTCGACGTGAGAATGCGATAGCACAGGTCGAAAACGAAGTAGAGGAGGGCATGTGCGAAAGCGAGAAAGAAAGAGAGCGCGAGAGAGGGAGAGAACGTATACGTGAATGATTTTGCGAATGAACGACCTTGGGATCGACGTAGGCGCGCGGGCGCGCCGTCGAGCGAATGTGCTGATCGAGTAAACGTGAATGCTTCGTGAGCATCAAGGAGGAGCGAATGCGAAGACGAGAGTGAGATTTTAGAATGGCGTGCTTCAGGTAATCTGAGGTCCTGTGATCGTTATAAGCGAAATATTTTTTTATTTCCGGGTAATATAATCTGAAACGCGTAAAACTCTTGCGTCGTTTTGAACTTTTACTTGCAATATACCGTTACGTTCTCGCAATACTTAGGATGAAGAAGAATAAGAAGAAGACGAATAGGAAATAAAGAAGGTGGATGAAACAAAAAAAACAAAAGAACAAAAAGAAAAAGATGATACGAAGATGAGGATGACGAGGGAGAGGAAAAGTGTGAAGAAAAGTCCGTAGGTTTGATCGTGGAGCGAACTTTTAGAGACTCGAACCAACCCCTTGCCTCCCTAAAATACCCTTTTTCACAACGTCTTATCAACCCGAATCCCCAAAGCCGACTAAATTTTCATCCTGTTTATCTCTCCGAATCTTTGACTTGTAAGCTTATGGATCGGTCCACACTTTCGATGAGACCAGACGCGATGAAGACGAGACGCTGACCGTAAAACACATCGGAGAGTATCACGTTTGATGTTTCGTTGGAAATAATTTTTTCAGAGCACGAAAACGCGATTTCCAAAAGAAAGTAAAAATCGACGGAAATTTCGAGAGGCGATTGAAAAAAAGCAATGAAGAAAGAAAGCCAAAGTGTTGAAAAGTCCATTCGATAAGCATTCACCTACGACATGATTCGATTTCTTCGTTTCTTCAACTAGCAATCGCGGACTGATAGAGTGCGAAATCGAATGGCAGCGTGCCGAATTTACTCACATCTTTGATCAATGTCGACTGCGTTACTGTTGTTGTTTCTTTTCGGAGACTGTCGACGAGATTTTTTTCGTTTTTGACCGGCTCATTTTTGAAAATCACCCCGAGCCCCTTCGATCCTCGCTTTCCATCCGAAAGTTCACTCTTCGCCTCGTTTGCAAAATGTAGACTTTCCAAATTTTGTCGAATAAAATTTTGCCTACGAATGTAACCGACAAAATCTTTTCTCTCGCTACGTTTGGAAATCATATTTTCCGGGAAACGAACAATGAGAAATTACCTAACACAAAAATGTTCCCTTTCATGATATATATACCTCCTTCCCATCTTTCATGTCCATTTGTTCGCCAATTACGAAAATAACCTAACGTCGTCATCTTCGTTGAACGTAAAAGACACGCGCCGAGAAGCCGCCGGATAACCAGGCTTTTTGACCATCTAGGACAAGAGATGAAAAGATCACTAAGGATTCATCGTCAAAGCTACATTTAACAATCGCACTTGTCTCGCGATCGGAACTCGACGGACACAACCAGCTTGTTTCCTTTCGGAAAATTTTGCAAAAATTCGCCCTTTCCTCGAAAACGTTCTCATTATCACTGGGATCGATTTTTCGCAAATCGTAAATTCAGAAAATTCGGGAAATTTATTATCTTTGAATTTATTCTCATCTTTTGCGGGAAAGAAAGGAGTAAGCGGGTCTCCTCGAGTTCCGGCGATCGCAACCGCGGGTCGATTCATTGATCGTTATTATTAAAGTTTTTGCGTTACAGGGCGTTTTTTCCTCGGATTAAGTAGTATGTAAATACACCTTGATATCACAAGCATAAACTGAGAATTTACTGGTAAACTTAAACGAACGTACATAATGCGAAATAGGGTTAGTTTCTATGTAAATACCTAAAGCTGGACGAGTGCATACACCTCGTTCACGCAACCAACGATAATCGTTTCTTATCGAACCAGAGCTTTTGTTCGTCGTCGGCGCGTGCCCGCACGATGATCGGCGATCGCTTTCGTCTTCCTGCCCTTGCCACCACCCTGAAGGGGTGGATTTTACACCTTCGGGGAAGGATCGCGTGCGGAAGCGTTCGCTGTTCTCTCGGGTATCGTCGATCGGGAAATTCTTGTTTTTTTTCTCGACACTGATACTCTGATACACTGATACACTTACACACAGACACACTCACACTATACGGCATTGCGATGGATTGTACAGCTATGATAGGAAAACATCTAATATAAAAAAAAAACAATCGTCGCACATTTCGACGCCCACCTAACACCGTAGGGATCGATTTTTCAAAAAATTACCATCGACAAAAAAATCGCGTATTGTTTTTCGGATAACAAAGAAAAATCGCGGATAATGAAACATATGATAAGTAGTATAGCAAAAGTTTATAACGCTTCTGTGCGAAAGATGCGAGCGTGCTGCACAAAATTGAGAATGAAAGAGATTCGAGAAAATCTGGAAGAGAGCTCGTATGCAAATTTGATAGATTTGGAAATCTGGTTAGCAAAGGGAATGCCAGTCAATATCGGCGAGTCTGAGAATGGAGCGAATGAACAGATAGTTAGGCTGAAACTGTTAGCACGTGTCGCGCGATCGAAACGCGGAGCAAATTCTCGTTGGAATTCGCGAGTCATCCAATAACGATTTTCGAGTGAATCGTAATTTAATTTCACGGTCCTTAATCGAGCGTCGAGAGATATCGAGAACGGTGCACGAAACAGGTAGAAAAAGAGCGCGAAAGAGCGAAACGGAAGGATGGAAAGGTCAGCGTTTACTAGTTACCACCATCTCACTATCACCATCACAAAAAAAATTAATAAAACAACAACGACCACAATACAAAACACTACCACCACTACCACGTCGAGATCCTTCATGATGAATAGCGGTCATGAAACGATTGACAGACGACTGTTTTCGACCGGTGCATCCTGCCGTGCGCCGAGGGTTGCTATTTCAATCAGTAAAGCGACGTAACAATCGGTGGGATGGATCCTGATCTTCCCCCGATCGCAATTCAATCACACAACCCCGCGCGAGAAGGAAGAATTCCCGAGGCGCCGGCCCGTGCCCCGCGAACGTGTACCATAATTTTAAATTTAAACGAAAGGTAATGCAAAAAAAACAAACACAAGCGCGTTAAACAATAGATCTAGTAGTGTATGTTCTGTAATCAACTGAGAAGTAAGCGAGGATAAAGATAAAGAAAAAGTAATAATAAAAAAATGCGGGTCACCCCGCGAAAAAAACACAAAAAAAAATAATTTACAAATATATTGATTTACATATGCCCGTAACTCGTAAGGGGGCCGGTGGCGCAAACGCGCCCGCGTGAGATTTTCGGGCTCTACGACAATGAGGGAGAAGAGGAAACGGCGGGACGTACACGGTGTCCGCGAGTCGCGACGCAAGACGAGCTCGCGGTCATAAAGCGGAAGCGGATAAGGCGCGAAAGACCGTGGAAAATCTAAAGAGACGGTTGGGTCGTCCGTCTTCGTCGCGAGAGAGGCAGCGAGCCGCGCAAAGACGATGATGAGGGAGAGAAGAAAGCGGCTGTGCAGCGACGAGAGATGCAAGAGAAGACGTAGGCTCACACGAACGCCTAACGACGGGAGAATCCGGAAAGGAAAGCCCCGAGGCGTCACGGACGACCCGAAGACGTAAGCGTCCCGACCGTAGCCTACTCGTGGAAACACGACTAGCAAGTAGTCGAAAAGAGGCCCATAATGGTAATGATAATGATAAATATATATATATACGGAAAGGTATATATATACATATGATGAAGAAAATCCACAGCGCGACGTCGCCTGCAAAATCGGCCCTACCCATAATCTTAATCTCTTTCATGTAAATTTGCTAAATGTTTAAATAATCTAAAAAGTGCCATAGCCCGGATGCGCTGGTGCATACTCCCAGCGCATACACACTTACAAATACGACTCGACCTTCACGAATCAAACGGAAAATCCGCGGATACGCGCGCGCAAACGCGCTCGCGGCCGCGGTAGAATTGGTATTCTCGCCAAGAAACAAATACAGTGTAACAACAGTGACAGAAACCAACGCAAACAAGACATCCCACAAGATGAGCGTGTGCCCCGCGACGCGGGGGCACGCCCCAACGAAACACAAGTTAAAGCGAAGTTGCCCTGGTCCCACGAGCGTGCAACCCCGCGCGCTCAAACAGTTCTCAATACACGAACACGCGTGCATGCGTGCGTGCGTGCGCGCGTGTTCACCCACATAATACACAGTACAGTAATACAATTTTACACTTCTTATACACTTAAAGCACACTTGTCTACACTTAACTACACACGCTACGGATATGTAAAGCCAATTAATTTTGTAAATTGTCTAAAAAAGAATTTTTGAAAAGATACGATTCGGCCTTGTAATAACGTTATATTTTCGCGCGCGTCATGCAGGAAACGCCGATCCGCCTAGGAAAAGTCGGCCCGGCCTTTCTCGAGAGAGAAAGAGAAGGAAACCTGCTTTTCAGGCGGAAACGCGTCTCCTCGGGCGCCGTTGGAAAACTTTGATCGATTTTTCACGGTAATTTGAGAGGAAAGAGCAAAAATTCGTGGATAATATAACAGACACGCGTTTGTGCTCGTAGCGCTACGTAATACGTATAAACGCAGCAAAATTTCGCGGCCTTTGGCATACGTTTGGATGCAGTACCGATGATGAACGGTGCGTGCATACTCGCGAGAGATACGCGCGAGTGCGCACGCCCAAAACGCGTCCCGGACTTGACACAAGAGTACCCGGATGTGACGTGTGGGCGGCCTCTTTGTCGGGTTAAGTCCCGACGACGGACAGGTGGCGAGGTGCCAGAGAATTTCGTCAATGAGAGTCGATGAGAAGTGAAAGAGAGTGAGTAAAAGATTTCGAGTGACGGATAAAGCGGCGAATGAAGTTCGAGACGAAGTTCTTAGCCCTTTGATCGCGAGGTACAGAGAGAAAGAGAAAGGGAGGGATGAGAGAGAGAGTGAGAGAGTAGAAAGGCACCTTGGATGCCACCGAGAGACCCCTGTTCCACGAGACGCAATCACGAAAGGTGTAATAACCACATAAGGAACACACAACCAAGAGGAATGTGGCAGCGGCAATTGCATAAGGGCCGTTGTTCGAGTGCGGCTTTACAAGCAAAAACCGTTGGTTTGTTTTTGATCGGGTTTTAATTTTTTAATGAAATAATCTCACAACGCGCGGATATATGTCACGTACGATCGTGCGCGCGCGCGCGCGCGCGCCCAGCGCAAGGATTTTGCAGTGCAGCTGAGATTGTGCGGCAATATTTGTTGGGGGCAACGGCACGACGTACGACGTATGTGCATATTATTCGCGGCAGTGTGTATCGTAAGTGCGCAGCATATGATAAAACCGACAGTCTAGCAGTGCGAGCGCCTCGGCGGCATTCGCGTCTTCACGCGGTGACCCTGACCGAGCCTCCGTGATTAAAAACCGGAATAAGTTGTTTAAATGTCCACTATATAAAAGAGCCATAGTTGTTAAGGCGGTGGGTTCCGTCGTTCGGTGAGTCGATTCGACCTCACATCGCACACGCGTTCGTCCTGGCCCCAGAGAGATAACTTCGAGAGAGATGACGGCGGCGAGTCAACGGGAAAAAACGCGCGAGAGACAGATGCGGAACGACCGCGAAAAACATTTGGCATACCGGCAAAATTCCGAGGTTCCTGGCAGATCGAAACAATCGAGGTGGCCGAGACAATCCGATTTGGGAATTTGGCGTCTAAATGAGACGTTCGGCAATCAAATTTTGATTAACTTTAGCCCATATTCTCGACACTTTTAACATTAAACGTGGCTCACTGTTTCTCATTCTTATCTCTCAAGAGAATGGCATTCAATGCTAGGAAAGAATAAGAGTTAGATGCCACGTTTAACGTTAGATGTGTAGCGAAAATATGGATATTTATCTCGGCTATCAAGCGGATGGGAAAGAAAGAGTAGGTAACCATCGGGAACGGAGAGCATCCAGAGACTCTAAACCTTATGATCGATCGAAGTCGTGAAGAAGTAGCGACTGCCATGATCCCCAACAATCCACACAATTGATAACGGTCGACGACGACGAGCGTGCGGACCCATCGCGCTGTCTCGTCACGGATAGATCATGCGAGCGCGACGTACCGATCGTATTCGATCGGCTCGATCATAACGCGTGGTCTTCCCGTGGCGAGGCGATACTCTTTTCAAAATATTCTTCATACTTCCGTTCAGGAGAATGTGTTTCTTTCAACCTGAACCCGAGCAACCCCCCGCATGCGTGTCCGAGATGAAAGGCCGAGTCCGTTTATTTGGCAAATCGAAAAAAAAGGAAAGAAAATGATAACCGCGAAAGACATGGTGAAATTATGACGTATATGAATTACGGTAAATTACAAATTTATCAAAAGCGTATAACTGAATCGGCATAGAAAAAAAAAGACAGAACACGAGAATGTGTGAGATGAACCAGTATATTGTCCGCTAAGTGGGTGCCTTCGTCAGGGTTTTCCGTTACAGTAAACAGACAGTTCTCAAGTATAACTCACAATTAGTAGTGCTATAGTAGGACAGTAATCACAATGTACCGCAGTTAAACAGTTAAATAAGTAAGTATACGGGAAGCACGTGGTCTTTTTCAGTGTCTGCAGAATCTCGTCGTACGCTATCTACCGTTAATCGGGTATAGTGGCACGACCGGAAGTATACCGGATTCATTTCGTGTGCAACTTCCTACCGGAACCTCTCCCGTCCCGATCCACCGTTTGGCTAAACGTTTCTACTCCCTCTAACCCAATTTTTTGGACCTCGAACGACCGGCGCAAAAATAGATTCGATCGTATTATCGAGAGAAAACGTATCCTAAAGGCAAAATTCAAAAAAATCTCCCAGCCTCACCAACCGGTCGCTCGCAACCTCTCCTTTCACGATTCAATCGACATTTAACAGATAAATATGATAATAAGTGTACTAAGTGTCTGTAGTTTAGCCAACGTGTACGTTGTATACTCTGAGATAGGCGCGAGAAAGCGAGCTGACGATGATGGGACGCGAAGCGGGAAGAGATAGCGGGAGAGAAAGGAGGAGAGAGATAGACGATTGCACGGTGGAGCCATATTTAACTAACTGATAACGATTAATTAATTACAGTAATCATTCAAGATGACTTAATTAACAGTTAACCGTACCGCATACACACATGAATAATTATTAATTACACGTACTCCAGTATATAAGTAAGGGCCGAGCGGTAGCGCCGCGCGTACCGCGCGCACCGCCTCTATTCAATAAAGAAATCGCGGAGGCACTCACTACGGAGATCAACGAGCAGGGACTTTGGGACTCGGACGCGGATCGGAGGGTACCTGAACACGCGAGCCGGGATTCCAGTTCGAAATTATCCGTCGAGTATTCAACGTAAAAAAAAATAGAAAAAGGAAAAACGCCAAGTTTCGGCGACTTTGGGAAGCCCGTCCGGCTCTTCCGACGTCGGATGGATCAACTGTTCGACTTCAGGATCGTTTCAGCCTGCTTGACAAGAATTGCGACTGCGTTCGGGCAACGCGTGTTCAGGTGTCCCGCACCCCGTTATTTTATCGATCTTTCAAGTGCAACGTTGAGTTATTTCACTTACAGCGTTGTTTTTCTACACAATACAAAATACCCTACCACCCGTCCCCACCGGCGAACCAATCCACCTCATCACGCTCCCGCAGGAACAAAGCATCCCCTTCACCCACCGCCCCAAACCACTCATCCCCCCATATACAATGTTGTCTCACGTCCGTTCGCGATAAACTTGGTTGCGAGTCCAGCGGCAGTCGCGCTCCGTACCTTAGAGAAAATTTAAAGGTGTTGGGCAACCCTTTTCATTTTTACCAAAAGAGAATTTTGAAATGCTTATGGAGATATCGCCCATTTATTTCTATATCCTCGAGAAGTATTTTGGAAAAGTTTAGAAAATTGATGCAAAAAAGTGATACAATTTATACAATTTATACAATTTATACTATTCTGATGGTAATCTCGACAACGGAACGGAGCACGACTTGACCTCGACTCCGAAAAAAAAGCGAACGTTAAGTTTCAGATGTCAGACTTTTACGTACAGTTAGTTACCGAGTAATACAGCGCAAGTTATCGTTAATTTTCGACGCGCAGCCTCGTCGCGACGAGGGCGACTTTACAAACGTGCGAATCACCTGCACGATCTTCTCGCGCCGAAGAGCGCGACGAGGATGCGCGTGCAGGTTTAATGGTATCGATTGAGTTTGGTCGAAGTCCCCTTTTGGGCAAACACACCGACGCACTTCCGGTCCCGCCGGCCAGCATCGTTCGACAGAAAAAAAAAAGAAAGAAAGAAAGGCGGGGAAACAATCTCGAGCCTCCGAGAAGATCGCGACAGAAAGGGAGCGATCCTCCGTTCGAAATTCAATTCTAGTCAAAAAAGGGTACAAAGCCGAGACGGGTGTCAACTCGGACAGGCGAAATCGGTACTTATTTAATGAGAGAAGAAAGAAAAAGGGCGAGAGAGAGAAAAAGAAAGATGGAAGGAGGAGGCTCGAGAGGGAGAAACATTCCATGGGATTGCGCGAGCGCGTATATCATCTCGGCGCGCAGAGAAGAGGTAAAGAGAAAAATAGAGAGAATCGACGAATTTGAAAAAAGGAGACAAAAACGAATAATGGTGCTGGAGACGCAATCTGTGGAATCGGCAGGGTGGCGGGACCGTACACGAGGAAATATCCGCGTTGCTGACAAAACGTAGCCTCTTTTCGTTGTGTCAAACCGCCGGCCAGGATCCGGGCCGATCCTTGTATAAGCAAAAACGATGAACTTTCAAAAAGTAAAAAAAGATGAATGTACGGTGCGAATGGATCTTTCATGAAGCTTCGATTGTTGTTGTTCCGTCGAGTTTTTCCTTTTGCATATAAAAATACCCACCCTCACGCTTTCCCGGCGAGGCTGCCGGGCGGGATCTCGCACGTACGTTTCGATCCGCTCGTAAAAAAACGATTCTCGATCGGCGAAGATACGCGAAAAGCTTGGAAAGAGGTAAAATGAAAAGAATAAATTCGAAAATGCGTCGAGAGCCCGTCAAGCGAGCCCCAGCCTTTCGATACCGCGGTTAACCTACGATTATTATGATTACTATTAGTTATTAATTATTATCATTATTATTACAATGAGATTGCCAGAAGGCAATTGGAGGCGTATTTTATAGAGAAACGAAAGGGAGGGGAGAAAGAGAGAAAAAAAATCCAGGAAGCAATGCCTCGGTTTAAAGTTCGAATTGTCGAAGCCATAATATGTTACAAAATAATAATTCTTAAGTGAATCGACGAGAAGCGGTAGTAAGGGAAGAGAAGCCACGTTTCGAGATTCTCCTTTTTTTCTTTTCCTTCTTCACGCGACTCCTTTTCTTTTTAATTACACACATACACAAAACACGCACAAAAATACATACAAATTACGCTGAGTAACTACGTTACTTAGCAAATAAATATTTATATACGAAAGTAGAAAACGGAACACGATACCGCGTTGTGGAATTTTAAATCCTTCTCTCTTCCTTTATTATTACTATTATTGCTATTATAATAATTATTATCATTAGAGAATTAGGCATCGAAATTTTATTGTTGTTAACGATCGCGCGAGATTGGTTTTCATTATGTTTGTTATAATTTCTTTTTAGTTAAGCGCGTGGTATCGCACGACTGAGAAAGACGGAGATGACAGAGCCAAAACTGTCGTTAATTGAGATTTATATGTGTTTTCCTTCGTTTTTCTTTACGCTTTAGGTATATCGAATTCGACTTTCGCTTTCTTAATCTCCTTTTTTTTTATTTGCGTATCGCGTAGAGGTTATTCAAATTTTACGTTCCTCCTTGTGCCCCCCTTTTTTTATGTGTACCAGTGCACTCTCCTCGTTTAGAAGGCGAGGAGTACGGGGACTAATCTCGATCTCATTTTACACGCGTATCCGACGTCGCCGTGGGGAAAATCAGGCTCGTTCGAATCGACGAGTCGCGAGGATTGAATTTTATTTTCTTCCACGTCCCATTATACGTACTCCTCAATTGTCTCTTCGCAACGTTTTCGTTCGCCGAACCGCGAGAATACTATTTAAAGACCACGCTTTTAGTCTCTATCGTGACGATTACTTTCGGTCTCGCTATGAGAGAGTTCCTATTTAATGAGAAAAAAAAATAATCGGTAAGGGGAAGATTCGCGGAGAAGGGGGGAGGGAAGAAGGGAAGAGGGGAAAACGAGCGTGGCGGGAAACGCGGCGTTCGGCGAGCGAGCTCGTCGAGTTACGTTTGCTAGTCAGAATTGGTTTAAAAACGATGAAGCAAGCTAGAGATTTTTACGATTAGTTACTGCCTATTATTAATTAATTAGTTTGTTAAGCGTAGCTGTTACGTTAGTTAACGCGGCCCCACTCTCGAGCTGCACTCATCCTGAAAAAGTAAAGTAGGTCAACACGCGCGCATACACACACACACACACACTCATACATACACGCAATGGTATACAAACTACGGTTCTTTAGTTACTATTCACGTAGATTGAGTCCTCGATTTATGAAAATTAATTGCAGTCCGCCGAAACGTAGGTCATGTTAAATTTAAGTCAATAACTCCATTCTTATTTTTGTTACGATCTTCCTTATTTTTTCCTCTCATGCCTTAGACGCATACACTCACGCAGGCTTAGCCTGCCGCAACTATTACATAATAATAGTGCCAACACTACCATCACTCCTATTATTACACTGCTACCGCTATCGCTAGGAAATGTTAGTACATCGCTATTATTATTATTATATTATGTTATATATTATATGTTATTATTATAACAATATTATTAATTATTAATATTATTATAATTATTATTATATTATTATCAACATTGTATGTATTAGAATTCGTGTTGTAAACTGTTCTGTCCTCGTTCGCGTATGGTACATTAGGTAAATCGATGTGATACATGTCTAGTTCTCTTTGTGTCAATTCGATCGTGATTAATTTCCCTTCTTTGCATCCTTTTTTTTTGTTTTGTAATTCATCTTTCATACATGTGGTTCCTCGCGCGCGGGCGCGATCGACGACGGCTTCTTTTGCCTAAGAGAGAGGCAGGATAATGTGTCGAATCTTTAAAATACGCTGACGATTGTCACATGGAGTTTAGGACACGTGCATTTATTAAATTTTATCGTTACCTACTATTATATACCTTGTCGATGAAATACCGGGCGTACGAACGCTTAACTCGCAAGCAATGGAGAATGCTCTTACAAATCTTCCCTCTTATCGCTCGATGTATCGAAATTTTGGATATGTGTTCAAGTAAATTCGATACTTCGGAATATTTCTAAGTATAAAAAAAATATACGTATATGTGATCCAAAGTGAAATTAATGTTATATTGATCTCGATACGACGCGCTCGTACACCCGGCGATATTCGTTATTAATTAACGCTATTAGTTATTATCAGTTACTGCAATTAGTACTATTACCACTATTATTAGTTATCGCTATCGACTCTTGATGCATCCCTTATTGTCGATCGGCGAGATAACTATTTCGATTGCCCTCTCCCCGTCTCGAACGCGCTTCGTTCAGTTAGTACTGTCGCACTTAATGATCTATTCTTATTAATCATCTACTCTCATTAATAATTGAAATTTTTACTTAGGATTAATTCGAAATTAGGATCTCTCGAAAGTGTTACACATTCGTCGTGCAGAAAAGTAAAGATAATTCTAACCTGTTTACACACATTTCGTCTATTTACGATGATAAAATAATACAATGTTGAAATTAATCGTGCAATTGCTATCTCAATCATTCGAAAATTGTTCATTGCCAAATTAATGTGCGGCAGCACCAAACACGGAGTTAACCGATCAAGACGGAGAGCAGTGTGCGCGATTTGAGATGTTTCGATGGAGAATTAGTGTCCGAAAGATGCGATGACGAGCTAAAGGAACCAGAAATTGCGACGAAGAATGTCGAGGCGAGAGAAATTATTCTTCTCCTCGCTGGTCATTCTGGTCGCGTTCTGGTTGCAATTAGAGAAGCTATGGGATCCTCAAAGCGCCAATGCACGTCGCGAGCTACGTACATACAATTTCGAATTTCGGAAATAATTGACGCGCGAAAAAGAAGTACGGAAGTAAAAAAAAGCTATCTTAAAGCGAATACTATGTAGTGAGAAGGAGAAAGAAAGAGAAAGGAGGAAGCATGTCATACAATTATATTCATACCAATCTCTTTCGGTTACGAGCGAGTTCCGCATTGTGTAGGATATGTCTCATTGATGATGATTACGATGTGAAGATTTAATATCTACGAGATGAGGACGAGAATGGTCGATGATTGCGACTAACGGTGGAAGAGCGAGATCCAAATTGTGAAATCGCGAGAGCCTTTTTGCACGAAAACGCATTACAAACGAATGCGTATCTCTAGGAATCTTCTTTTTGTTGTTGTTGATGATGATAATAACGTCGATGAAAACGATAGGGTGCTTCTGTGCGATGGAAGGAGCTCCGGGCACGCGTGGAAGGAAAATTCGAAATTCGGAAAAAAAATCTAGTCTTTTCCCTACCACGTACGCGACGACCCGATTCTGTCTCGCGTACGTGGGCAGTGTTCGATGAGAATTCAAAACTAGCGTGTATCGATAGCTACTGGAATCAATCTTTTGGTCGATCAGTCGACCGTCAATTAACCTTTCCAGATATAGCGACGGCGGGTGAGCAGGATTGTGAGTGAAAAATCTCGGGGCATCGGCTCCTCTGGTGGAAGCAATTATTCTTGTATCCGATCGAAATGTAAGATTACCGATTTCAATCGGATTCATTCCCCGATCCAGTGTTCACCCTCCGTTACTACACTCCCTTTAGCCGAGAAACATGCTCAATTCTTGTCGATCAATCATGTTATCATGCTCCATATTTAGGACGCTCGAAAGATGTGTTTGATTTTGCGGCGCAAAATTTATAGATGAAAAAGTATACGACGCTTCGTCGAAGCCTTTTCAAGCGCGATCCGAAAAACAGCATTTTCGACAAAAATAGCCATTTCGACTACAGATATTTTTTCAAAAGATTTTTCTCAAACTTTGACGTTCGATGCACAATACAGCGCGCGAAAAAGGCCTTGGCGAAACATCGCGATTCTCTCGAACATATCAAAATACGATGGACTCCACGTTGGAGCATTACTGCGACATTACTTTCGATGTGTAATTAGATTGTAAGTAATAAATCCAATGGAACATATGCGTCTATGCGCGTCGCGATGCGCGCGCTCGCGCATAGACGCCATTGAACACTGCACGATCGATGATCGCGAGAAAAACAGGTAATCAACGCGAGATCGAGGATGGGAAAAGATCCGATCCTTGAAACATCCTTTAGGCTTACGATCGAGGATTAAGAATTTGTTAGATGTTAATGTCTGCGGAGCGGGTCGGCTTGGCGCTTAGTGAAAGTGATCTTCGCGCAAAAAATTTCTTGCAAAAAATTCCAAATTTTCTTAAGAAATTCCAATACATGAAATAAAATTTATGTAATGTTTAAAGTTTTTTTTAACGGCGACGAAAGAAATTCACATTTATACGGCAAGACAATCGAGAAACTTCGTCTGATAAAGAGAACTCGAACTACGGAGATCATTTCGGGAAGATCGCGAAGCCGATTCGCGGGCGTGTAGATCGAAGATAGGCGAAAGGAAAAGAAGTTTATAAACGAGAATAAATTCTTCGTGCCTCACGACTTCCGGCTGGACGACCTTTCACGCGACTACGATAATCGTAATTAATGGCTCGGATCGTTATAACGGGAGACGAATGAAGGAATTTGACCCGCAATTAAATTGTAAATATGCGGTAATCATGTGAAAAATGCTCCCGATTGTGAAATTCGTTCCTTCGTAAGCGCAAACGGAAGCTCGTCGATTCCGGAAGCACGCGATCGGCCAGCCTAAATTTAAGGTCTTTTTTAGAAATTAGCGGCGGAAAGGCAGATATATATCGCGAGGGCGACTATCGCTGCAATTTTGTGAATGAGAGAGCAAAGGCTTGCCTGCGAGTGAAACATCGTAAGATAAGTGATTGTGAGGAGTTGAGCGAATGGAAGAATGTATGAGTGTGTTCGATGGTAAGAAAGTAAATTGCGAGAATGAGAGAATGAAAGATATATACAATATAGAGAGAAAGGGAGAGAAAGAAATTAAGTACGAGAAAATGGGATATAAATGTGCATGTGAGAGATAGGAGAATAAACAAAATTTTACTACCAAGTGGACTAGAATCGCAACCGATGGGCATTATTAAGCGAAAATAAAATTTTCGGAGCGTTTTTTCGACGAAGAAAAGCGTCCAAAATTGTACCTATTTTCATTTTATAAATTATATATATATATGTATATGTATATGTATATGTATAGATATACGACGACCTAAACGATTATTATTGCAAGATGTAATTGCAAGAGAGAGAAAGAGAGGGAGAGAGTGTGAAAGAGAGCGCGCGCGAGAGCAAGGCGATAGGAAAGACGATGAAAAATAAGAAATTATTGTATCTATATTCGGAAAAATGATCGATGATGTATTCGAATCGTGATTATTATTATTATATATTATGATTATTGTGTATAGTTAAGGCGAAAATGGAATTTTAGACGAAATTATCGAACTCGAGGTATATATATAGGGAACGTAAGTGAGAGAGAGAGAGAGAGAGCGCGCGAGACAGTGCGAACGAAAGAGAGAGAGAGAGAGTGTGTGTACGTGAGAGAGAGAGAGAGAAAGAGAATTTCTCGATGGTGATTGCACATTGCATGTCGACAGGCAACAAAACAGAGTCCCCCTCCCCTCCAGTAAAAAGTCAATAGAAAAATCAAGTCACGGCCGAATGAAACGCAAGAGCAAAAACTTTTGAGATCGTGAATTTTTTCGAGGTAATTTCAAAATTTACATGAAAACGGGCGACTTCTTTCAATTTTTCGAAATCGCGAGACTTTTCTTCCAAAAGACGAAAAAAAAAGAGAGTAATTCTCGTTTCCTTTGTACCAGGACCAAAAGAAAAATAGCCGAATATATATCTATATATAAAAATATACATATATGTATGTATGTATGTATGTATGTTCGTATGTACGTACATACATGAACCAACACACGCAACGCGTACGAGACGTGCGAACGCGTTCTCCAGCGCGACGATCCTGCCGGAACGATGCGCGATCGAGCGACTTTCGGACAACCAGAACGAGTGCCTCGGGTCCGATCCCAATAGAGGACGGGCCCAGATTTGGGAAAATTCTTTGCCGGCAGATCGACGCGCTCGGGGGACTCGAGCGGTGAGGAGGAGAGGCGACAGGAGGCAAAAGTTATAGCTCGGTCAGCAATAGTTACAGGTCAAAAAAAGCAAAAAGACAGGTTGAATAAGAAAAAAACAATAGAAAATCAATTCGGAACAGCGGAAACAAAAATCGCGTAGAAACACGAGGCAACATATAGTTATTATACTTTCTCTGTAGCACACAGATCGCACTATCGCAGTTTCAGTTTCTTCCCTCGCGATCGTATAGATCGTTGTTAGATTTTTCGATGCTCACGGTATCGCGACGGCCACGTCCCTCGGTCGAGAATGAGTTTTTCGCGAACGGATCGCTCGACTAAACATCACAGAGCGATCGAGAAAGAGGAGAGCGAAATTGTCGTCGATCGACGGACCCGGGACGTCGTTGACGCCTTATTTTTTTTTCACCGCAACGTATCCGTTCTTCTCATCAGTATTGCAATTTCCCAACTCCCTTCCCCCCGCAACCCTCTGCCTGATTACAGCATTCTCACGTGCGATACAAATCCCGCGGATATATCCCGTTTTTCCCACCCTCACCACTCCACCGCCACCGACCACCCCGTCACACAACCAACCCGTCCTTCCCCCGGTCCCTCCAATATCAAACCGATTTACTAGTGTGAGTGAATGTGTCAACACGTGCAAGGATTTTAAAAGAAAAAAAAATTCTAGCGAATTTCGAGGAGGAATGGTGGAAAAAAATTGAGGAAAGCGTCGAGCAAAATGCGATCGTGAGGATTGATTTAAAGAGAATAACTGGGAAAAAGTACACACACACACATTCGTCGGATGTGTAGGGACATTTTGCATCAATTGTGTAAGACACGAGACAGAGGGAGAAAGTGTGCGTGTGTGTGAGAGAAAAGGGGAGATTAAAAGCGAAAAAAAAGATTAAATAAAAGAGGAAGCGAAGTCGAGTGAGAATGCGCGTGTGGAAGATGCGAGAGCGAGAGGTAGAAGAGATCCTAAAGAGAGCGAGCGAGAAGATAAAAAACGGCGGAAGCTAAAAAAACAAAATGTACGAACGAACATTGATACTATCTTCGTTTTTTAAGGTCGTTTCTCCGTTCGACACGCTACTATATAAATATTGACATTTGTCATTGGATTATTACCGACGATGATGAAGTATCATTATTATTATTATTATTATTATTACGGAACTATTATTATTACGATGATAAATGATTATTATTATTATTATTACTACCATTTATTATTGTCATTATTATCACAATTTATTATTGCGATGATGATCATGATTATTATTATTATTAATATTATTATTATTATTATTACGTGGTACAATAAAAATTTAATAAGCATTCCAAGTCTCGTGATTGCCAACTATAGGTTCCCATAATCATGAATTCGATAATACCTTCCTTTATAGTTTATCACGTCATTTTAGTACCATGACCTCTCTTACGTATAGAGATAAAAATAACTGCTTGCCGATAACAGAAGGAGTAAACAGAAATGTTGGTACAACGTATAATATGATATCGCGTAGTTAAACACAATTTACAGAGACGGCTTACTAGGTCAATTTTGCGTAATATGTTTTTCCAGAGAACATACTGTGATGGACCTTTTTCTCATTACTCTTCCTTCATTTATAAAATGCAACATTGTACAAAAAAGATTGATTTATTTCACAAAAAATTCAAAGTATAGAGGATGACAACTAACGTCGATTTTTAAACGCTTTATAATAAATTGATGACGCCAACATAGATGACTTGAGTAATTAAATGTCTAGAAAGATCTAAAGCCTTGTGTCCACGATGCTAGAAACTTTCTAGCTTGTCAAACTTGAACATTCAAGTTTTAAAACTTGCTACATCCGAGTCTGATAGCAAATATCACGCGGGGTCATCACAGCCAAAACGGAGCGGCTGTTCAGCCACGCTATCCAAGTTAGTGAATGATAAAGCATTGAGAAAGGAGCATCATGCTTCGTTTCGTCGCTCGCGGCAGATTCATCGTCTGTGACAATCTCGAGAAATGTTTAAACGCTTTGGGAGGCGTACGTGACACCTGCAGCGTCATCACCGTATCGAAGTTCAAGGAGAGACTTGGTGGTGGTTCGACGTCGCGTTCGAATTGTTTGATCGATTCCGCGACACCTCGTGCAGCCGCCGATGCGACTCGCCGGGAAAATCGTCGGCTGTCATCAACGTCGACTGTCAGTGAAGCCCGCAAGACGTGTCTTTACGATCTTCACGTGGAAAAGCAAGGCAAGTTGGAAATTTAATTGAGTTATTAATATCGAATTATATAACATTCTAAAATTCATGCTAAATTATTGCAGAATTTTGCTCGTAAATAAATAAATAACATAAGACAGCTTTTCCGAGATGCGTTTCTTGATTTTTATAGTATTTAATATAGTAATACTTAATACAGAAAGTATGTAATAATTTAAAAAAGTCATTTCATGCGATTTTTTATTTAGGCAAAATCGTCAATTTTGCTGGATGGCTACTGCCGGTACAATATCGAGAGACGATTGCCGTATCTCATCTACACACCAGATCGTTGGCGTCGCTCTTCGACGTCGGTCACATGCTGCAAACGCGTGTTTCCGGTAAAGACGCCGGGGAATATTTGGAATCGCTAACCACGTGCGATCTCAAAAATTTAAGCAAAGGTGCCGCGACTTTGACTGTCTTCACCAATGAAAAGGGGGGAATTTTAGACGATCTCATCATCACTAAAGACGATGAAGACAGATACTTCGTGGTGTCTAACGCGGGTAGGCGGGACGAAGACAGTCAACTTCTTTTGGAACGTCAGGTGAAAATTTGCACGCTTCTCATTTTGCCAGTCAAGATACAATAAACGCTCCTCTACTTTCAGGATGATTTCAAGAAAATTAGCAAAAACGTGTATATCGACTTTTTGGATCCCTTAGAGCAAGGTCTGATAGCTCTTCAAGGTCCCACAGCGGCGACGGTCCTTCAATCATTAGTGAAAATCGATCTTCAAACCCTAAAGTTTATGAATAGTGTCAAAACCGAGGTGTCAGGAAGTCGTATCAGAATTTCGCGATGTGGATACACCGGAGAGGACGGCTTTGAGATATCGGTACCTGCGAATGACGCGATTGACTTAGTCGAAAGGATCTTAGAGATTCCTGACGTGAAGCTAGCCGGTTTAGGAGCCAGAGATAGCTTAAGGTAGATTGGTAGACAGACAGATATATATTACACCTTAAAATAATATCTTTGAACATGTAATCGAGATAATACGTACGTTTGAGCTAATTTAAAAAAATTTAGATAAATAGCAAGCAATAAAGAATAATAATAAAGTGGAATTTTATTAGTTTTTTTCGTTAATTTTTACAGACTGGAGGCTGGACTATGTCTATACGGTCACGATATCAACGAGAACACTACACCAGTCGAAGCTGCCCTTACGTGGCTAGTCGGTATGGTCTCGCAAAAATTGCTAATAAATCCCCGAACACGATAATTACTCTTCTAATCGCTTCTAAATACCAATGTAGTTTTCTTCTCTTCTCTTCTCTAACTAGCTCTTCTCTAACTTTGTCACGCGAAACGCGAATTATTGCAGTTTTACAAAATATCGATCTCCCTCTCTCTCTCTCTCTCTTTCTCATAGCGAAACGACGGAGGGCCGAGGCGAACTTTCCAGGCGCGAAACGAATACTTTCGCAGATCAAGACGGGTACGACGAAGAAACGCGTCGGGCTGCTACTGGGTCAAGGACCACCTGCCAGGGAAGGCGCGCCCATATTGACGCCGGAAGGTGAACGTGTGGGCAGCGTCACTTCCGGTGGACCAAGCCCGACCCTGGGTCGGCCGATCGCCATGGGATACATGCCGCCGGATTTGGCGCAATTCGGCGGTGGGGTATTGTTCGAGGTTCGAGGGAAAACGTACAAGGGTACCGTGACGAGAATGCCCTTTGTGAAAGCGAAGTATTACACCGCGAAATGATGCTGATTTCGCGACGGAAATTGCTCGATCTCCGGCCAATGCTACAAAATGATTAATTGACAGCGACGAATCGTTCATAAATTCGTCAAGCACGCGAACAATTGGTTTAGGTTCGTTTGCTAACGCGAATAAATTGCGATGAGTCGCAAATGATATTTTAATTGATAGATAATTTTTAAAAATTTCACTTGCACACTAGCTGATCTTTAAATTGAATTAATGTTGTCAAATAATTGGGCTCTTCGTCCAAATTGATCGTTAAATATTGTGGTAATATTAAATATAATATAATATAATACCAATCTTGTAAAAGAGATTAGTAGAAAAATTTATAAGATCAATTATAATATTTATAGAAATGTGCATTTTTATAATAATTTTAGCGTAATTGCAATATCTATTTTTATACATACATATATAAAATTTATGTAAAACATAATATAAATGTATCTAAAAATAATGAATTATTATAGAAATTATATACCAAAGCATCTTTCAATAAATATATATTTTAAATACAATACATTATAGTTTTGTTATATAATATTTATTTTATTATATCATGTAATGTATGTTTATTATATAATAAATTATAACGTTTATTACTTTATTATATAATATTTTATAAAATATGACAAACATTATAAAAGTATAATAAATTTTTTTATAACCTTCTATAAACTCACACTCTGAAATTCATTTTCTATTTTTATTTTATCATTAATTCTACTACCTTCATATATATGTATATTGATAATTCTATATTATCGACAACAATGAAATCGCATAATTATTCACCGATCGTAAAGATAAAAATTAATTTCAACGGATTCTAACTTATTCACTAACGATTAAAAATGTCGCATAACGTAAATTTGATACGATGATATGATATTACATATATGATATATTTTAATAATAAATAATTTTTCAAAGCCTCCAAAAAAGTGCTATTTTTTAGATACAGACGCGGGTAAAGACTATATTTATTTCTCATCTAATGTAAAATATTTCATTAAACACACCTAACGTCGGTATTGCAGAAATCTCGAAATCAATTAGCATTCGAGAGAATTGAGCGCTAAAGTCGATACTGTATCGACGGCAATGACTGCATCTACGAATAAAATAACGATCGATAGATATAAAAAATCGCGGGACTCGCGTAAAAACGGCGACTGGGCACAACTCGATGCATCATGACTTACGACATTTGACATTTCTGCAATTCTGGTATCCTCTTTGGCGCTATCGGATTTTCCCGGTGCTAACTGCTTCCACACTTGATATTTTTATTTTTTTACAATACTTATTCTCAGTATACAAGCAAGCGATTGCGGCTACAGCGGAAAAATAATCACTGCTAATTGCTACCGCGTATTTCGTCGAACATTCGTCCGACACTCCAATTTTACATTGCGCGAAAGATCGAAACTACAATCGCGCGGAGTTTACCTAGCAGAACTGTCGCGCCGACGCGATGTAAAAGCTGCCCGATGCTCTCTGTTCGAGCTAAATATCGTAGTTTTTCGAAAAATTCTCTCAATTTAACTTAACGCTCGATGCATCGGTACGCGAAAAAAATTCTATAAAAGTGAATCAGAAACTGGCGGCCTTTCCCCGTTTACCCAGCCGCCGCTATTCGGGCACTGGCGAAAGTATAATCGGCTAATTAACATATTGGAACAGCGATATGCTCATACCTGATAACGATCGCGCGTCCGCTGTTGATGTGAAACGCGCTGGATTCGATCGTGTCCGGGCCCGCGGAGACGGATCCGTTGCTCCGTTGAACGTGTCAGCGATCACCCGAATCACCCGATCGGGTCGTCGATGCCGAATTGCCGAAATCGCGACGCTCGTCGCGCAACACCGATCGCGCACGACTCAACCCGTTACGAGCTCGCAACGAGCTTCTCGCGGAGCACTCGCGGACGACTTTCCGCGCGTGAAATTCGCGGTCGAACGGCAACTCTCGCGAAAAATATACGGAGCGGAAAATATGCGCGCGCGATCCAGAGAACCACTGCGGCGCGTAAGCGACTGGGGCGCAATTCGAAAACTATCGCAGGCGGAATTGCGATTATCGAAAGTATCGAATCGATCGAGGCGACCGAACGACTTCTCTAGTCACTATGGTCACTATATAATGTCACTATGGAGAGAAGTTTGAGAGTTGGCATGTCTGCGAGTTTTAAACGAAACCTCTAATCCACTGGCGTCTCTATGCGATGATAATTAAAATGTACGAACTCAAAAACACGCAAAGAAATACGACACTTGTTAATAAAATAATGCACTCACCGAGCTGCTCCGCGTCGATGCCGTCTTTTCGCGCCAAAAAAATCTTCGCTGACATCTCATCTCCTCGAGAGAAAGTACCACGCGTATTAATAACGATCGCCCGATACTTTATTCGGCACTCCCGACAACGCGCGTATCAATAACTATCGCTCGATATCTTTATTCGACACTCCCGACATCGCGAGTACTCCAAAACACACGGTATAGTGTCTCAAGTCAAGTGCATGCGCTGGCCACGCACCGGCATAAATAATAATGTCCCGCGGCCGGCGACTAGGGTGTGCGTGTGCTCACATACGTAATCTTGCCCACTTGCCGTCGAGGGACACCATTTCTACCTGAGCTGTACATACACGCGATCACACACAAACGAGTAACGCGGAAGGCGCGCGGAGTTCAACTTGTCGCGACGCAACAGGTTATGCCAACGTTGCACCTTACACACGCGATTATTTCCATGCATCATACTGTCCCTCGCGTGTTAACACGATCGTTCGCAAATATTCGTCACTCTCGATATCGTATCTGCGCGCAATTCACACTTGGAAAACGCGACAAGTACGGAGCTCCTACCCAGAGCGGCAGGAGCACGGAGCGAAGTAACAATGGCATGGCAAGGAGAACCGCGGGGGCGTGGGTGGCGCGACGAGTCCGCGATCGCCGGCGCGACGCGTGACGTAGAGTGACGTCACGAGGGGGAGAGCGGTAAACAAACGTTTGAATTAACGCTCGCGAAAATACGACGCGGCGACGATGTAAAATAACAGTTATTATTTCACGATAATTATGGGCGATAATCGTTTTTCTTAATGACGCTTCAATCCAATTACAAATCGCGTTCTGAAATTCTCATCAATTTAATAAGTATAATATGTTGACGATCTTGAGATACATTGAACTGTACATTGAATTAAACATCTCTTTAAGAAATAAGATTTACTTTATCCAGTTGGAAAATTATTTTTGTTAATTAATTTATCGTTCTTATACTGTGTTTAATCTTTCTTGTTTTAATTTTTTTAAGGAATACAGAACACTTTATCGCTACATTAATTATTTTTAATAAAAATTTCGAGATATAATATCTAATAAATGTTCGAAAAAGACTGTGATTCTTTTATAACATATCATTTTTTATACATATATTTGATTTACGTTTGTAGTATAATTTTACAAATCCATTGAGATAAAAAAATAAATTACCGGCCAAGATGCGCAACAGCGGAATTGTAACCCTGCGTCGATCTGTAACATAAAAATATTTTTACATTAAAACAGTGTCCGCGGAAACTCCGAAATTGCGAATCGAAATGACACCGGAGTTAAACCTCGAACGAGTTAATGAGTATCACGTAATGAATGAATCAAGTCGCGCTTGATAAAGTGACGGAATCACGGAATCCACCACACAGGGGCTGACAGAAGACAGAATAGCAAAATAATAAATGAACAACTCACCCCACGGTTGCCCCGCTGTTGCCCGATGCCTCCCAGGCCTCCTCCTCCTCTCCTCGGTCCTCCTTCGTTATCACACTCACTTACGACGTTCACGAAAATCGACGACATATCGTCGCTTATATATGATCGCGCGCTGTTTTCGACACTTTGCACGGCACTCCCGGTATTAATTTCGCGACACGGCGCGTACTTATAATTACACGGCGACGAAAGAATTACGTCGGAGATGCTACGCGAACAAAACTATACAATACGATCCGCTCGACGCCCGTCAGCCCGTGATGTCCCGCAGGTAGACGCGAGTGAATTCTAAGATGGCGGAGAGAGTTTCGTAAATCATGTGGCCAACTTCACTCGCCGGGAGCAACCGCGAGAACGCGATACACTTGCTGCTTGTCAGGCGATTTTGATTAACTCCAATTAAATCATCGATTTATTAACACTGTCTATCCTCCGCGATCGCCGAACATCAAACCACGATTAAATATGACAAACAAATTAAACGTACGACGTTAATATAGAGACTGTGATCTATGATTGCTAATTAAACACGTCGCGACGTCACTCGATTTAGGGCCCGCTCGATTCCTTTATCCGTATTTCGAAAACGACGGCGCCCTTCATTCTGAAGCAGCGCGACGCGCGACATGACGCGAGTCAAGTTGACGGGTGAAAAAAATGAGACCGATTTATTCAAAAGAAAAATGTAATCGAATGCGATATACCTCAGTATCCGTATAAATTCCGCAAAGCGCATATTAAATGAATATTTGATAATAGATCACAGTTTTCAAGTATGTTATCCGCCAGAAATATGTACGGCTACGTAGTTCAGAGCGTAAGCTTTAGGACATAGAGGCGCTCGTGCTCGTAGACGGATCGCATGAAAAAGATGTTTGCCGAGGTTCGAAGCGCACAGACAGAGGGCACATTGTTCGTGCATCGTGGAAACAAACGGAGAGGCGGCTCGGAGCTCCAATATTCCGAAGATTAGTGTTAATTAACAATAATTAATAATAAGAATAAATGCGCGCGCGATAGAGTTTCATAAACGTTTCGAGGTATAGTACAACAGATCCGGAATCGAACATGGTGCGAAGCAGCGACAAGTAAGTAATACTCGTAGTTGAGGTTATGACGCGCATTTCGCTTTCGTTATCTCAGACTTTTGACGATCGAATAAATGTTGACGCAGGGACAGGCATCACCGGCGGAGATCGCGATCGAGATCAAGATCGAGGTCGGGCGAACCCGAGAAGAAACGACGGCGGTCCAGAAGCAGGGAGCGTGAGAGGGAGAGAGACAAGGGACGACATCGCGAGCGAAGGAGTCGTTCGCGAGATAGAGACAGAGAGAGGAGCGACAGAAGGGAGCGTTCCGAGAGGGACAGGGATCGCGAGAGAAAACGGTATACCCTCCTAAAAAGAGTTTCGGTACCTTAATCTGAAACAATCGTTCGTGGGCGTTGTTCTCTGTACAGGGATTCTCTAACTCCTTAACGACAGTTTCGGTATCGTTGCGCAGCTTTTTTACCATATATAATACCTGCGCAACGATACCGAAAATGTCGTTAAGGAGTTAGTGAATCCCCGTACTGATCACAAATTTATGGAAGATGTTTTCGACAATAGTTATAACAATAAAATAATTCATTGACATTGATTGTTTTCGGTATACTAGTGGAGACAGTAAAGAAAAGCGTCTTACAGGCTCGAAATCTTCACGCTCTGGCAAAGAACGATCCAACAGGTCTCGTTCACGCGATAGAAAGGATAAAGAAAAGGGGGACAATGAAGAATTGCCTTTCGATCACACAAAGTTAGACAAGGTAAGCCTTCAAAAATTACAGAAAGAAAAACAAGCGATGTAAATGTACCAATCCCTGGACACGTACCTATGTCTGGACATTTTTATCATTTTAGTCCTTAAATAAGTTATAACGCGAATTAAAATCAAGGAATCAAAAATAAAAATATTTGTCTTGTATTATATTTTTATCTTTAATTTTAATTCACGTTATACTTATTTAGAAACTAAAGTGATAAAGGTATCCAGACATAGGTTTTAAGTGTCCCGCCATTGGTACATTTACTTTACACGATAATTGAATATTACAGGAGGAGGAGCAAAAGAGACTGGAATTGGAAATGCAAAAGAGAAGGGAGAGGATAGAAAGATGGCGCGCAGAAAGGAAGAAGAAAGAGGAAGCAACCGAAAAAGACGGTAAGAGATCTATTTTGGCAAATCTTCAGCTACCCATGAAAAAGTGGTCCCTTGAGGATGATAGTGACGAAGAGACTCCTGTGGTACAGAATAACAAAGAGGCAAAAGAAGAAGGTGTAAAGGAAGAAATTGAGGAAGTAAAGGAAGAGGTGAAAGATGAAGAGGAGGAGATTGATTCACTCGATGCTTTTATGGCAGTGGCAAGTATTGCTAGAATTACTATATTCAAGTTGATTTTATATATACATCTAATTATCTTATTTACATCTAATTAATTTAATAGGTTCAAGAAGAAGTGAGAAAAGTGAATAAATTTGACAGTAAAGCTCCGAAAAGTGCCAACAATGACACTAATTCTGCATCACAAAGCGGTGGCGTGGTCATTGTGACTGGAGTGGCTAAGAAAAAAGTACAGAAACAGAAGGGAGAATTGATTGAGCAAAATCAAGATGGATTGGAATATTCCAGCGAAGAGGAGGGCGAGAATCTTCACGAGACCGCGGCCGGTATAGCAAACAAACAGAAGCGAGAATTAGCTAAAGTTGATCATGCTACGACAGATTATCAACCATTTCGAAAGTCCTTTTATGTCGAAGTACCTGAGATTGGTATGGCTATATATTTTTAAATTATTTTTTTTCTATTGATGAATGAATAAATATATGTAATATACACTTGCAGCAAGAATGACACCAGAAGAAGTAGAAGCGTATAAGGAAGAATTAGAGGGCATTCGCGTGAAAGGTAAAGGTTGCCCAAAGCCTATCAAGTCCTGGGCGCAATGTGGCGTAACCAAGAAGGAATTGGAAGTATTGAAGAAACTCGGTTATGAGAAACCGACCCCCATTCAATGCCAAGCGATTCCGGCAATCATGTCTGGTCGCGATCTCATAGGTATAGCGAAAACTGGTAGCGGAAAAACACTAGCTTTTCTTTTACCAATGTTTCGTCACATACTCGATCAACCACCGTTGGCCGATGGTGACGGACCGATCGCATTAATCATGACACCAACTAGGGAATTGTGTATGCAAATCGGCAGGGATTCGAAGAAATTTACAAAATCCCTGGGTCTTTCACACGTGTGTGTTTACGGCGGAACCGGTATTTCCGAGCAAATAGCAGAGCTTAAGAGAGGGGCTGAAATCATTGTATGCACACCGGGAAGGATGATCGACATGCTTGCTGCTAATAGTGGACGAGTTACCAATTTACGTCGAGTAACATATGTAGTGCTTGATGAAGCCGACAGGATGTTTGATATGGGTTTTGAACCGCAGGTGATGCGTATTATGGAGAATGTGAGGCCAGATAGACAGACGGTGCTATTTAGCGCAACGTTTCCGCGACAAATGGAGGCGTTAGCCAGGAGAATACTCACGAGACCGGTCGAAGTACAGGTCGGTGGACGTTCTGTCGTCTGCAAGGATGTCGAGCAGCATGTGGTTGTCCTCGAGGAAGACCAAAAGTTCTACAAGTTACTTGAAATCCTCGGACATTATCAAGACAAAGGCTCCACCATTATATTCGTAGACAAGCAAGAGAACGCAGATACGTTACTCAAAGATCTTATGAAGGCTTCGTATTCCTGCATGTCTCTTCACGGCGGTATAGACCAATGCGATCGAGATTCAACCATATTGGACTTCAAAGCGGGACGAACAAAATTGCTCGTGGCTACGTCCGTCGCTGCTAGAGGCTTGGATGTCAAGCATTTGGTGTTAGTCATTAATTACGATTGTCCGAATCACTATGAAGATTACGTGCACAGATGTGGTCGAACTGGTCGGGCCGGAAATAAAGGGTAAGTTGAACCTTTTACAATACAATTTTTTTACGATATAAAGTATTTTTTTATTCCAAATTTACGGTATGTTTTCTTTTCAGATACGCGTACACCTTTATTACGTCAGAGCAAGAACGTTACGCCGGCGATATTTTGCGTGCGTACGAGTTAGCGGGTGTACCCGTTCCAGAACCTTTGCGCCAATTGTGGGAAGGTTACAAAGCCCGTCAAGCCGCGGATGGAAAGAAGGTTCATACTGGAGGTGGTTTCAGTGGCAAAGGATTTAAGTTTGACGAATCAGAGGCTGCTTTGGCGAACGAGAAGAAGAAATTCCAGAAAGCAGCCTTGGGACTGCAAGATTCTGACGATGAGGACATAGAAAACGATATTGATCAACAGATCGAGAGTATGCTAGCGCCTAAGCGAACCGTTCGTGAAATAGCTAAGCCAAGCGCGACCAGTATTACAGTGCCCGGTCAACCGATACCTAGTGCCACTGATAAGCTTGAATTGGCCAGAAGATTGGCATCGAAGATAAACATTGCGAAGAATCTGGGCGCCGAGGCAAAAGGCGCTACTCAACAAGCAGCAGAAGCTATACTCAAGGGTGCAGGACCTACAAATCTTATTACGGTAAAATTCTAATTTGGTTCTAATGTTACCGCAATAATTTTACGATAGTAAACAATTTTTTTTTCTTTTACACAGGCAAAGACGGTTGCGGAACAATTGGCGGCGAAGCTGAACACTAAATTGAATTATCAGCCGCGCGAGGAAGATCTCGTGGAAAGCGACGTGGAAACGGGCGAGCAAACATTCCGCAAATACGAAGAGGAGCTCGAGATCAACGACTTCCCGCAACAAGCGAGATGGCGAGTTACGAGTAAGGAGGCTCTTGCTCAGATCTCAGAATATTCTGAGGCGGGTCTGACAGTGAGAGGAACTTACATCGCGCCTGGGAAGACGCCACCGGAAGGCGAAAGGAAATTATACCTGGCAATAGAATCGACGAGCGAGTTAGCAGTGAGCAAGGCCAAAGCGGAAGTGTCTCGACTCATCAAGGAAGAGCTCATCAAACTGCAAGCGTCTGGCGCTCACACCGCGTCGCGAGGTCGATACAAAGTTTTATAAAGTTTTGGGATCATTTTAATGATATGCCGTAAGGATATCATACATACGCGAATGTATATGATAAAAGTTTAGAAATTTATTATACATGCAAATATAATGTGCTTGTTTTTAACAAACAGTACAATAACAAAATATACTTAACGACTGTGAGAGCATTATTTATATCATTGGCACAAACCACTGCGGGCAATCCAAGTTTTCGCACGTTTATAAATAAAATGCGAGCACCCACATTGTCCCCTTAACGAGTTCTATTGTATTAATTTATCTATACGAAATAAAAATTCGAATAAACGCTCAGCAGCGTAAATCCACACCTAGACAGTATACGCCAAAAAAATTATACATTCATAGCAGTTGGATTCTTAATCAAATCCTAAGTTAACTTTCCTATCGATAGAAGAAATTAATAACAAAGAATAAGATTTATTTCTTTGAATGACGCATTCTTAATCAAATCCCAGGTTATTTTTTTCTACCGATAAGAAATTAATAACAAAGAGAATAAGATTTATTTGATTTCTTTGAATGACGCATTCTTAATCAAATCCTAGGTTAATTTTTCCTATCGATAAAAAATTAATAACAAAGAGAATAAGATTTATTTCTTTGATTTCTTTGAATGACGCTTCGAGTTTTTGCATAAAAATCACATTTGTGAACACACAATATACTAATGTCGATCAATACGCGATCTGATATATATAAAACTTAAGTTTACGGTGTCTTTATTTATAATTTATGAGCACAGTTCTCGATTACCCGCGACGACATTACGGATTACGCGCGCAGGAAATCCTTTTTTTTTGTACATCCAGTCATTATATACTCTTTCCTCTTTGGCAATATTAATTGATAACTAAAAATACATTCTGCTGTACGATATTAGAAGGCACTAGAAGAATCACAGACGAGACACGCTGTAGACATTCGTCGCCGCGAATGACATCGCGATTAGGTAAAGAAATACTTTCAGCACCAAGAACGAAGCAGAAAACAAGATTAATCGCTTATAGCTGCAACTGATCATCCTTTGACGATAATGAATCTCGGATAATTCACGCGATCAGTTAAAATGTATCTTTAAATACTGGACAGAATAAGCGATGCATCTCATTTTCCTTTTGGCGTGATCATAATTCAGGATAAAACGTTTAGCAAGAAGATGGTAACGATAATCGTCGCGAACCAAGCACGAATTTTCATGGCACTAGAAACGTAACTGTGGGCTATCTCGGCTCTGGTCAGCGAACCCAAAGGTACTTCTGCTGCGATCCGAGGACTCCTCTCCGAAATCCTGGTAACAAGCTTTTCTGTTTCTGTCACGCAAGCTCGTAATTGCAGCGCCGACAACTTCTTGGTAACGGGTTGTACAACGATGAAGATATCGCGATCCGGTGTCATCATGCCACGAACAGCGCATTGTGCTACTTGCAGCTGGCGACCTAGAGCGATCAGGAGAGCCTCTAAAGTGACGGAGTCCTTGTCAGTTTCCTCGTCCATCATATAGTAGATCCTGTCCAACTACAAGCCAAGAAATGAATGTTCAAAAAAGATTAACTGAGTCCAAAAGTCAAAAGTTTATATAAATTAATCACTATTGTAATTTTCAAAAACATGTATATCCCAAAACAACGCAAACATCTACAAAATAATTCGAAAATCTAAAAAGACATATGTACCTGTTTCTTCGAGTAGAACAATCTTGCCGCTCCTCCGCAGACAGGGCAACAAGCTCCGGGAGGGGTAACCCCAATACAATACGGTTCCTCCAAGGCAGGACATTGCACGGCGTCGCTGCAACGAGGTCTCGCCTGATCTCCTATGAGACCGACGGCGACGCAAGGACCTTGATAGTCCACGACGGTTCTTTCAGCCCAAGCCGCGCATTCGTTAGCGTAAACCTCGCCGTTGATGCCGCACACCGGACCACGAAGGCTGCACCCTTTCAGACAAGGTCCTCTGTAACTCAAGGTGGCTCCAGCTCGGATCATCGCGCATACGGAGGGATACTGACGATTCTCCCGATCGCAGACTGGTCCACTGGACTCGTCGCGCGGATTGCAGTCTATCGGCACACACTCGTATTGCCGACACGGTTTATGCAAACGCGACAGGCAGACCCTGGGTCTACGGACGCACTTCTCCGAGCTGTCGCAGGGATTGGGCATACAGGGATCTCTACTGGAACAGCTGCCGAATTCCACCTCGGTGGCCGACAGCTCGGCGCACTTCGCTAGGCAGGCGGACGCGAAGGTGAAGCCCAGCCTGCCGCAAACCGGAACGTAATGAGCCGGACAGTCGCAGGGTAAAGACGGCGTTCGCAACTCGCCACAGCTTCTCTTGGAGCACGTGAATTCGCCCTCGAAACAGTGACAGGGATTACACTCGAGGTAGAAGTTGGCTTTGTGTTGGATGAACCGGTCGTGCACCCAGCAGGATTTGAAGTTGAAGCAGTTGAGGGTACGGCACTTCTCCAGGCCACGCGTCGTGCACTGACAGATCTTCAGACAACCCTGCTGATCGAATCGCGGGATCTGAATCCAAGATCCGACCGGTACCAACTGCTTCGACATCTCGCCGAGGGAACAAGCCGGCACGCAACGATAGATCTTGGCGCCATTCGGTTGGAGCATGCAGAGCTGGCCCTGTGGGCAAGGATTCCGCTTGCAGGGTGTCGTGATATCCTCGTCGGGATGAATCACAGCCTCGTCGTCCTGCGGATCGTCTAGGAACGGCCGTAACGAGACGCACGGCGCGTCCGGTCTTCCCGGCGACAGCTTGGCGCACAAGGTAGCCGCTGTGTGAGGTCCGGTAATCGCGCTCCAGTCCACGCAGCTCGCCATCAGCTCCAAACAATCCTCGCGGCATAGCCGCGTCTCGTGGATTCTCGTCTCGCAAGGTCGCAGCTGCAGAAGACAGGCCGCCGCGCGTAGAGTCTCTGCTGGGCAGGAAGCGGCAGCGCGCACCGGCACACCTAAACCGCGAATAATGCCTCCTCTGGACCAATGATCAGCCTCCCATTTGGCCGCCTCGTCGGCCGCATTCGTGCATGTTCTAGCAAGAAATTAAATATTCGATTACGACAAGCGCAAGTTTCTAAAGAGATTTTTATCAACGTTACTAATTGGAGTTGATTTTGATGCTCAAATTCTGAAACTCCTAAGCTTGAGCTTACTTGCAGACTATTGATATGTCGAGACCTTAGTCACACTCACGATTCATACCTAAACAAAGTCGTAGGTCTGTCGTTAAACCGTGCACAATAAGACAACCCGGAGCAGCCCATCTCACAGGAGTCATCCGCGTCTTCGAGACACCTCCTCAGTTCACCCTCTAAACTGGACGAGAGGCACAGTGCGTCCAGTTGTAGCCAGGCGGTCTCCCAGTCTGCCTGGAAGGCCCGCCAGCACAAACTCTGGCAGGAAGGCCTTGTCGCCTTCGTGCAACATGCCAGTTTGCCGGCGTCCAAGGGTAACCGCGCCGGCTTCGTCGAGCCCGATTTCAGCAAGCAGCTCCACATCGGCGACTGTGGTAACACGGGACTGCACTTCTCCGCCAGGGCGTCCATGATCTCCTGGTCGGTCGTCGCGGTGTGGAGAGTTCTGCGACACGTGTCAAGGCACGCTGGAGTCGTCGCTTCCTCACAACAGTGCAAATCTGCAGAGATATTATAGAATTAGCTAAATTCTATGACATAGATAATTAAATAATTAATCGTTTGCTGATGTCAGTCGATAAACAATTATTGTTACTGAACTCAAATTCGATAATTAATGCGCCTACTCCATAGAGTCACGATTTTTTATAAAATGTTAACTAACGTTGCTTCGGATCCTCAGCATGCTTCACTTCGGCTACGCCCTTTAGACACTTGGGAACCTGATGGAAACAACCCTTGCTGCTGTACAGCTTCAAGCTAGATTGCTTGCCGGGCTTGTAAAAGATATCCTTGCAAATAGCCCTGCACGTATCATTGGAAACGTTGTTGCAGCATCGTTCGGCTTCCTCGCGCTTTTCCAGACAAAAGAAAAACTCGGGCTCGTCGCTCGGTCGGCAGGATTCGTTCAGATCGTTTGTGGAACCGGACAGGGCGCAGGTCGTGCGACATGTTGGATTCTGAGCGAGACGGCAGCATCCTCGACCCGTCCAATTCTCGTTCCTCTTGAGCTCTGTAGAATTCAAATAACTCGGTATTTTTGCGGTAACATTTGTTGCACACTTGGATACCCAGAACGCTTACCATTTAACGTCGTGTTCACGCAGGACCAAAAATCCAACTGAAAAAAAAAAAGATTCGAGCGTGAGGGATGATAAAAAAAGAGAGGAAAAAGAAAGAAAGGAAATGATAAAGAAAGTGAAGTGGCACAATCGAGCGACCGCGAGTCCCGAGATCATCTTTCATAAAATCGTCACCGCGAAATAAAAAAAAAACGTGGATCGCGTTACAAACATCCTAAATCGTTTAAGGCGCCCATTGTCGAGAGGCTTCCGATCCAGATCTGAGCTGAATAAAGAGAAGCGAGTGTCGATCGCGTGGGATCGAGTCTTAGAAATAAAAATCGTGTGGCAACTCACCAGCTCCGTGGAACAGAACTCCAATAGACGTTGAGTGGCGTTTTCTCTCGCTTCGATCTCGGCACCCAGGACTACCAGGGATATCTGTACAAAATTGCGACGAAATTACCTTAACAAAAGGATGCGAGTTGCGATAGAATTACAAAGAAAGGTCATGTAGCATGAATAAAATTTATTTCAGAACAACACCGTCTCGGAGATCTAAAATTACTTCTCAGGAAAGAATATAAATGGTAATAAAGTAGCGACAGAAGAAACTCATTGCATAAATGTGTAAATTATTCCGACGAGTTTGGATTTCGAGGCGTTAACTTTAATGTTTGCCTCGGCTGACTCGAATCGAGCGTCGAGGACTTCCCAAATTCGAAATGCAGCGCGGCGCATTAGCGGCTATTAAGAATCAAGGACACGAATGCAGCGCGCGGGCCCCGCGATTTCCTGTTGCCCGTCACTGAATGACAATCGTCCTCGGGGGCTCGGGGGCTCGGGAACCAGATATCGCTCTCGCGCGTTTCGTCCTCATCTCGGATTCAATCGATGTCCTCCGCGAGGACACGCCGGATCCACTCGGTATGTCCATCACGGTCAAGAGTTACGACCATCCATCAACATGCGGTGGGTCTCGACGGGCCCTGGCGATAGACACAGTCAAAGGTCACACTCGACCGCGGAACGTAAATCATCGATCACTCCTTCGTATATTTTTTTCGAGTAGCAATTTTTTAAATTAATTTGCAGTTTCGTCCAAGACGACAAATCGTATATTTTTATTAAAATAGCAGTGTACAGAGAAAAAAAGAAGTCAAATCAAAACTTGTATACTCGTGTATAAGCAACAATCTACAATCTTCTTATAAGAATTTCAATTTTTATTTCAACTTTTGTTTTTGGTTGAACTATATAAAATGACTTTATTCAAGCAAGTTTTCTTGGCTTATAATTTAACGCAATATAATCTCATCTCAAGATTATATATTCATGCGTATATATACGAGTTTTCTGTGTATGTTACGAGCTATGTTAAACGCGATTATGTGTTTGTGATGGCATTTTTATTAATTTCTCCACTAAAGGGAACTTTATTTTATAATTTAGTAATCCGGCCATATTTCCAGAATATTTCTAAGTTAAGGTGTTATAAATGTTAGAGGTGAAAGTGATGTGGAGCTGAGAAAACGTACGACGTACGTATTTCCGTCGCGGTATATTCTGGGAGGTATGCGCAGCCGGGTCACGTTGCCATCTTGAAAGGGTGCATTTTCCACACTGGCAAATTTTTCGCGGCGGTTTTAACGCCGAGAAATATGTTGGTGGTGAAAAATTTCTATTTTCTGCTGAACATAAACGTGTGAAGTTCACAATTCTCGAATAATGATGAACGATAAAGTGACGCGAGTGACGAAAAATAATATCACCGTTTCTCCGTTTTTGATATCGCAAATGAAACTGACATAGAAAATACTATCGTTTGCAAAAATCTAAAATGAACTACTTCGAAGCTCATATATCTCGGACCAGATAAATCAGGCCTCGACTGCTTCCGAGCGAAAGCCGAGATCAAAAGATACCGAAAATAGAGCCGCGAGCTTTCATAATTTGCTCCGTGCTCTCATTTGCCGAACTCCCGAACGATGGCAAGCGACTGGTGAGGTGTCGGTCGACTAATTAAATCGGTAGTCATCTGCAGTTCTCTTCGATACAACGAACAACTGTATGCAACGAACAACTCAGCTTTTGTAGAGATTATAAATAGTGTCGGTGTGTTTTTGAGTTATCTTTCTGACATAATACAAAATTTTCTAGAAGAAAATATACGATATAATTTATTTAACATATATAATTAAATAAGTAATAATATATAATTAAATAAAATATAATTATTAGAAAAAAAACTAATTCGGCAAAACTGTATTTCCTAATGTGAAGCAGCAACGAAAATACTGCTGACCCGGATAAGAAGGAAAAAAACGCCCACGTGTTCCCGCGACGAAGAAGCGTCTTTCCTGTCCATCTCAAGAATAACTTGTCACATATCTCAGAGCTTCCGTCACGATTTCCGGTTATTTCGTTGCTAAATGGCCAAGAAGGAAGCGCTCATCAGTAGTCAGGCAAGACGATCCGAAGAAACAGCTTTCTCCAAAGTTTTTCTGCACCTCGCGTTATATCGTGTCTCACATTTCAATCGAGCGATAACGTCGCAAGGAACACTGAAAAATGTAAAACGCCCAGAACCGCGAGAAATTATGTCGAAGTCTTTTGTAAAAAAAAAAACTTCGCTGGATATCTTTGTAATTTTTACAACCGAATGTATTCCTCATTTCAGATTCAAGACTTTGAAGGATAATGATATCGCGATGAAACTCACATCTCGACCTCCGCAGCAATAAAATATCCTCTATGGACGAGATCCTCCATGTGTGCGCCATTCCGTAATCAGAAATCAGCAAAAGGTTACTCGAAGTACGTCTCCCTCCCGCCCTCCGAATAAACTGCGCGGGGACACGATATCATTGATAACGCCCGGTACGTTCACCGTGTTCAACGCGTCAATTCGTAATATTTGCGTATGAATGAGCCCGCGGGGCGCCCCGGGCTCTCGCGTAAATCTCGCAGCGGGCCCCTGGTGTCTCCGATATTATCTTCGAAGAGGAGGCTCCCGCAGTCACCTCTAAAGAAGCTGCAGCCGGGACGCACCCCACGTCGCGATACCCTCATCGAAGGAAGCAACGAGGTATCCTTCTCTCTCCTCTCGTCTTTTTTTCCACCTATCCATTTCCACTCTTTCTCTCTCTCTTTCTCTCTCCTTATCGTCCCGTTTTTATTTCCCGGATCCTAATATATCCGTGGACACGACATATTTCGTGTCCTTTATCGTCCCGGGTTCGGCCCACGGATATTTATCAACCGCGCGATATCGCATTCGAATGATTATGCCGTCGAGATTGTCTTTTTGACATTCCCACGGGGTTCTTCCTTCCTCCGGGCATAATTAATAGATTGTACTCCGCGGCGTGGGGGCCACGGCTAATTTCTTATCGCGGCGGCGAAAAAGGCGTATCTTTATACAATCTCGAATATTAATTTTACAAGCGATTTTAGATTTCGTGAATCGCTCGGTGTTGTGCTCCCAGCCGTTTACTTTCAATCTTATCATGTAGTAATCAGTCAGGCGGACTGAACTTAGCTTTATCTTTGGAATGCGAAAATTTCCAGAAATTTTCTCTTAAGGGTCTCTTAAAGAAGCGATGCGAGAGTGCAGTATGATGTACTTGTTTAAAATGCATACCTTGGAGCACACATTCCGGCAGGATCCAGCAGCCAGCGAGCAACAGGACATCTCTGCAACAGAAGGACGGATATTAGCTTCGTGCGTCAAGAGAACAGATGGAAACTATATAGCCCGATAAACCTCGGTCACGCTCGAGAACCTTTCCTCCACTTTTCCGCCGACACGAAACAGACGCGTGTCCTGCATTACGTCAGCATAAGAGGGGCAGAGAGGAAGAGAAAGGATCCGTTTTCAAGGGTTTATACGGGGGCACGTAGTGTCAAAACTCTAGCCCCCCGGGGGACCTCACATATAGTTCAAATTCAGAGATTCCGGTTTACAAAAACAAAAATCAAAGATCGCGTACACATCCTCACTTAATTTATTTAATTTATTTATCTATAAATTGTTTTATTTTCATCATTCTGTACAAAATTACAAAAAATTATTTTTGCTGTCTTTTTTCACATTTTTGAACGCAATAATTTACATTCATCACTGCGATAACGTTATTATAATGGCGAAACGATTATATTTGCATTAACGTTTTTTAACAGAACGTAAAATAAAATAGGACAGAAGTCGAGACGGTTGTCGCGGGCGTTTCTCGCCGATGGTCTTAAATATTAAAGCTTCCGTTCCATCTAACTGCAGTGGCGTGCAGTCGAGAAGCATTCCGTGTGTCCCCTTTCTTCCCAGCGTCTTCAATTATTAAACGACCGGGGGGGGAAATTGTCCGGTACGTTACTTGGATCGAACAATCGAATAAGATATCCTGTCCTTCGAGAGTCTACTTTTATATTTAACGACGAACTTTTGAGCTCGTCTCAATAGAAAGACTGATTTTCGAGTTTCAAGCCAATCGCCGGTAGACAGTTTGTTGCCCTTACAACGCCTCGATTGTGACGTAATTATGTACCGAAGAATTATGGACCAGAACGCGCGTTTATTCCTATTTCTATATTTCTGATGTGAATGGCTGTCAACGCTCCTCCCAACGTGTCGCGTTTGACGTGAAAGATCTTTAACGACTTTACGCGGGGTTAACATGCGGGTTCGATCAAAGTGACTCGTGTGAAAGGGGGGCCTTTTGAATGGCGACTGAAATCGTAAGGGCCGCCGTGGCGGCCGCGCCGACACGTATGCACTGCGTTACAATGAAGCTAATAGATACCAATTAAGAGCAAATTGTTGCTCTCTCCCTTTCTCGCGCTTCATTTCGAAGAATCGTTCGATTCCGGTTATGTATACACAGACGTAGAGCGCATTTCTTACGATCAATCGACCATAATCTCCGGTGAAAATAAAGTGAAACCTACAAAACCTTCTACAAATATTACTCGAAGTCGCGTATTCGTAAAGTTATATATAGCACGCGCAAGATCATCTGAATTTCACGACACTTACACAAGGAATTATGATTACGGCCGTATTGTCGGGAATGGGGGATATCAGTCGCGCCGGGGATCGTTTGCATTCCTGGAGCAAACAGGAGGGTGCTCGAGAGTCCCGAGGAACGTTCTCCTATTACAGAATAAATTACGAATGTTTGGCTAGATATCGGTTTCGGTTCACCGACACCTGGCACTTATCCGTTTGTCACCGAGTTATTCACGTCCGCTCCTAAAATATATCGGCGATGACTTGTGGAATCATATTCTCCGCTCTCAACGCGGGTTACCATTATAGATCGTGAAAACTTGCCACACTCTTCGGTTTATCGCCGTGACTTCGACCGCACGCGGGAACTTTTATTCGATTTCATTTTCTTTTGTTCCGTTATTTTTTTTTCTTTGTTCTTTTACTCATTACGCATGTGAGTGCATTTGCAACCACCTCGGCCGTCGTAAAAACTCGCGCGGGTCGTTTAAGACGGGCCTTTAATCGAATCGTTGCCACAAGGGACCTTGGCGTTTCCACGTGAAATTCGCGGCCGGCGCGGCGACGCGACAAGTGCGTCTCGCGCCTTTAAACGCGGCGTTTTGTGGCTCCTGTTGCGGACGACACAAAAATAGCCGGGCGTCGTTCGCGGCCATCCGGCGTTTACACCGATCTAAACTGTGGGGCCCCCTTCACTTTATCCTACCACGCGCTACCCGAGAAGCCGAAATGTTCGTGACTTTGACGAGAAACATCGGATCGACGAATGCAATTCAAATCGTGCCACTTATGAATGCGGAACGTTTTATTTTCCAGAGACGCCGCATTAAAATTTATCCGAGGAAAAAAAGAGCGCAAAACGAGAGAAAATATTCCAACTTCTCGAAGAGAACGGTAAAAGATGAAATTGTATAATTAACGATAACGTGATAATAGGGGAGAGGAATCGGCGACGACAGTGGTATGCCGAGAAGTGACAAGCAGCGCTTAATAAAGTAGACCATTTAATTTGACTAATATAAGATTCCACCGAGAGGGACCGGTGGCATTTTAAACGCCATTAATGCGCTTGATGAAGCTTGAAGGAGCTCGGTCTCGCAGTCCGTCGTCTCTCTGACATTAGCATAACAAAATAGGAGAAACGACAATATAATACTCTCGCGACAATATAATACTCGCGAATCCTTCCGAGAACGATCGCGCGCGCGTTTATCTCGCGTGTGATGGATTACACGTTGCGCGGATCATAATGCCGTGCTCCAGGGACGTGTTGTAAATTTAATTCGACGTTTTCTCTCGCGGCTTTGTTTCTCGCTTTTCTCCTCTTTGTTTTTCAAACGCCACGTCGAACGCGCCTAATGGCACACTCGCCGCGGCCGCCGATGCCCCGTGCCGATAATGACAGATTTCATCTGCAGTAAATCCGTCTGCGCGCCGTAATCCGCGAAACGGCGCGTCTAAATTTACACGCGGTGCATATATGATTTTACGTAGAGCAGCTCCTGAGCCAGTCTCTAACGGGAATCCTACATCGAGAAGATAATATTGCTGTCCGTGATGTATTAATCGCATTTGAAAGTAATAAAGACCATCGAGCATGAACCACCTTGACCGTCCGTCTAATTAAGTCGCGATCGTGATTGACATCAATAATGCATCGCGATATCTATGCAACATAAATCATTTATCAGTATCAGTATATATCGTTAATGTCCTGCGTGTGCTCGGTCCGCATCCTGTGTCCGCTCGGGCGATCGGTATGTCGGTCCATGCGTGCCGAGACAATAAGCGTGTCTTCACGCGCGTAATTTACGGCGAATCGACGTAGCTTCGCCGCGAATCCTTCTCGGAACGAGGCGAGCGCGTTTCCTCGACGAATTTAAACGAGCGACCCGAGGTGACGTCGATCGACGGGAATGTGTCGTGCAACATTCGTTCCCTCGCGCGCGCTGTCCGACTCCGCATGTATACTGATGTATACACGACCCGCGGGCTCCGCCGTTGCATATACACGGATACACGGTCGCATAACTGCACTCGCAGCTGCGTCTTTCGGCTGCGACATCATCGGCGTCATCTCGGGTAACAAAACAAAAAAAAAACTCCGCGCAATTCTCCCACACTCCTGTCAGCGGATATGACTGTACTTATATGCGCACGCTGACTCCAGAAAGCCAGTAAAAACTCTTCGCACGTAGAAAAAAAAAATTCTTGATTTGAATATCTTTAGTTTCAACATAGAAATCTTGAAATGAGATTATATTGCATTAAACGAAGAAAATTTGCTTAAATGAAGTATTTTATATAATTCAACCAAGAAAAAATTGAAATTTTTAATAAGAAGATTATAGATTGTTGCGTATATAAGTTTTAATTTAATACTTCTTTTTTTCTGTGCAAGATTGCAATGGACGCCGATAAAATTCTTTTTTTGACGCACCACAGTTTCGAGTGCTCGTTTCTCTGCAAATAAGGATTCCAAAGAAAAAAATCTTTCTCCAGTTGCGTAAGAAAATATAATTGAGACGAGCCGAGAGAAATTTATTACCGCGGAATTAAATGCTTAATCTTCGCGACATAAATTAAAGGACTGGGGGTTTGAAAATATAAATATTCTTCTCAAATAAAAGACATCTCATCCATTGTCGATCTGGCTGACACTCATTAATCGTGCGATAATCAATTCTCGCGAAGCCTACCTTTTCGCAATCTGCCGGCCATTATCGGCGATTACGAACGCGCCGCGTCGTTATTCGCAAATATAGACGCGATAATCCTCGCGCGAAGGCATAATTAGATGCTGCCGACAGGCGAACGATGCGCGCACGTAGAGTCGGAGGAATTGTACTATACATAATTAATACAGTCATCAAACTCGCGCTCAGTGCGTTTTATGGCGCGAAGAAGAGAGAAAGAGAAGGAGGAAATCGACAAGGAATCGGCGGGAAGGGGGCACGGGGGGAGATAAGGAGAAGGGAATCGAGATACGTGTCTCTCGACATGTTTTTATCCAGCGTGAAGCTGTCACTGGGGTTTTATGTGTTTATTTATCTCTCCTCTCGCGCGCAGTGTACACCATGAGCGGGTATATATCGACGGAGGTTTTCATGTAAGTAATCTTCATGATGGAGAGTCTTTCGGAGACTTCTGGCAGTCCTTCTCTCTTTTAACCCCTTCGTTTGTTCTCTCTCTTTCTCTCTGTCTCTCGAGATCTGTTGCTTCCTTCTTTTTTCTCCCCGGCAAAAAGTTTGCGACAACCGGTCCTCCGAAGAACACCATCGGATGTCGCCGTAGAATCCACAAAAAGTCCCTCGGTACCTCCCTAATTACGATCTATATGTCTCTAACGTTCTAACGAGAGCGATCTGTCTTTTGAAATTGATATAACCATCACAATTCTATTATCTTTCCGATCAATTGAGTTAAAAAATAATATAAAACTACGTTATACACAAAGCTTATATTTCATTATACTAATACAATTATCACGAATGTGACTTTCTTCATCTTCGTCAGCGCTTTTCTTTAATAATATGTATAATAGTGCGTAATATCGTTTTGTGTTTCTGTAATTATATCAATCTACAAATCTTGGATTTTTCTTCCCCACGATTGTGACTGTCAGAAACGCTACTACACGACGGGACAAATCGATGGAAGTTCTCCACGCTCGAAGAAAGCGTTTACATGC